AGTAATATATAATATAATGTTTATAGTATATAATATATAAGTATATTACTATAAGATGAGTAATACACTTATATTTAATACTTTAATATATAAAGTATATGTTAAGTAGATGTAATATGTATGTATTTAGTAGATATTAAGTAAATAATAAGTAAAGATTAAGTAGATAATAAGTAGATATTAAGTAGATAATAAATACATGCGTGGAATGCCCAGTATGTTTCAAAAAATTATTTGACTGCCTTTCCGATCGAATTTTGAGCTGAAGTTTGGTATGAATAAACTAGACTTGATGAGGAACATGCTCAAACAATTTCATCAAAAAATTCCACCGGGAAGGCCCCCAAACGGGGAAGACCGCACGGGGCTGTCCGGTCAGGCCGCCTGACTCGAACAGCCCTCATATAAGTAATATAATATATGTATTTATAAGTAGATAATTAATATATAAGTAGATATAATAATTCTATAATTATTAAATAGTAAAATAGAATGGAGAATTAGATAATTTGAGAAGATGAAGATGGAGATGATTAAGATTAATAGAATATTAGAGAGTAGAGACTTGGAAGAGTTGGAGAAGAGGTGTAGAAAAATGTATAAAAATAGGAATATTTATAGTTTTTTTTTACCCCCATCCCCCAAAACGCCCCGGACCCCCCCCCCCCCCCCCACCCAACGGCTATATAGCCGTTTGGGAGCCGTTACCGAACGGCTAGGGGGCTGTTTGGTTTGTAAAAAAAATTAAAAATATAGCCGTTGGCCCGAACTGGGCCCGGCAGGGCCGGGTCTCCTTTTTTGCAGCCCGAGCCCGCCCCGCTATTCCCTTATAACCGGGTCAGAGACCGGTTTCGGGCCCGAAGCACCGGGCTGGGCCGGTCCCACACAATAGCGGGCCGGGTGGCCCAAACCGAGTCCATGACTAACTACACTTATCAACCCCATGTACCTTCCACCCACCCCTACACCCTACCCGCCGTCAAATCCGTTTACAATTCATTTTCCGTCCTCTTCGTATTTCGTGTCCAACTTCTCCAGTTCTCCATTTGCTCCACACCATTTTGACACAATCGGTGAAATTCAAGAAGAAATGGCCACCAGTCAAGAAAAATAGCCACCAGGGCCCAAGCAGGGCCAGGCTAGCCTTAATCGTCTCCAATTAAATCTAGGATATAGTCCAGGAGAGTAGGAGACATAGGCACATAGCATTATATTATTAGTTGGCATTGTTAACTGAGAAACATTAGTGATGACCTAAATGATATATTTTCAAACGTGCAGCACATGCAAACTTCCTTTTTTTATCAAGCCTTTACTCTTCGAAACTTTTGATAACTTTAGTGTCAATTCTCTAAAAATAAAAAATAAAACTCATGGAAAAGGCATAATGACATCTTTATGTCAGTGTTTGAACCATGCATGCAAAAGTAATACGGAGTATACAACAATGAGTCATGTCTAAATTACAAGATCGATAGAACTTTCTTAAAAGTGCATAGGAGTCCTACTTAAACACCTACTCAAGTGTTCTTCACTAGTGAACCGCCCCTCTTTATATTCATCACTCTTGCAGCAGAATGTATCTGCACCACCTGAGTCTTCCTTCAGGCAGCATTCTTTGCAGCAGAAAGCATAGCATATAAGTCGGGGTGACAAGTGAATGGGAGGGGGTCATGTGACTCATGTCTATCAAGAGTTCAAGAGTCAAGACCAACCATTTCTCTTCAATTATTATATAATCCTCGGTCTTGCTAATCTTCGGCAAAATAGTCTGGGATCTGGAAGCAATGTTGTACAAGTGGTACCGACTGGTGGGGCATAGGCATGGACCCGGGCCGGGTCGGGCCCGGGCCGGGTCAAGGCCCGGTCGGGCCTCGGGTCCTATAAGGGTAGGCCCGGGACCGGCCCGGTCAATGACCGGTTCCGGTTCGGGCCGGGTCACCCGCCCGGGTCACGGGTCGGGCCACCCGCCGGGCCGGGCCGGGCCGGCTCAATAATTTTTTTTTTTTTATATTAATTATATATTATACAAATTGCTATTAAAAACAAAGTTCAAGTGCATTTATTTGAAATAAGAACTACATTTGAGAATTGAGAAAAAAATAACAATACGAAATACATTTTGTAATGAATATCAATTGGGATTTCCGCCACCGTTGGTTGTTGTTTTCCCTTTGTCACAAGACTTCATATGTTTTATTGGCATCCCGTATCCGTATGAACCCCCCAAGCAACACTCTTTCTTGCACCACCTGCAAGTTGCCCACCACAGTCCGGTCTTCGGGTCCTTCCACTTGTCAAAATTGTTTTGCATAAGAGAAGATGTACTTTCCATATTTAAAATGGTATATGTATAACACTATAAGTAATTAAGTAGGAATGTAGGATAATAAGAGAAGATAAAGATGGAGAAGAGTTTGAGAAGAATTGGAGAAAAGGTGTAGAAAAATGTTAGAAAATAGATGTATTTATAGGTGTTTTTGAACCCCACTCCCCACACCACCACCCCCGGGACCCCCCTGCCCCCCACCCATAGCCCCAACGGCTATATAGCCGTTTGGGAGCTTTGAAATTTTTTTTTTTTTTTTTTAAGTTATACACATATTGTAAAATAAATTAATTAATTTAATGAATTAAGTAAAAGTGTAAAACTAAAACAAATGTTACAAAATAGGTGTATAAGTATTTAAACAAATTACATATTCTAAATGTATTTTTAATTTAAAAACCGGCTTTATATTTTAGAAAAATAATTTTAAGTCGTTAGATTGTAACCAATTAATTAATTTGAGAAGTGCTACATATGAAAAAGTGAACACATATTTATTTGAAATATGAAGTACAAGTTTACAAATTAATTTGAACTACAACTACAAATTTACAATTTTGAAATATGAAGTACAAGTTTACAATTTTGAAATATGAAGTACAAGTATAAATAAATTTGACAAGTGCTATAAAATACATTTTGTACTAAATTCTAAAATACTAATCAATCGGAATCTCCGGCATAGGTAGAGCCACCATCGGTTGTTGAGTCATCCATAAAATCTTGGGAGGGGGTGATGCTCAATTCTTGAGTTCTACGTGCGGCCTTCAACCAATCGTGGTAGCATATAAGCGTCTCAAGAGACTCCGCGCTCAATCTCGATCTAGATGCCGTTAGGACGTTGCCGGCCGAACTAAATTCTTGTTCCACCGCAACTGTTGAAACCGGCATTGATAGTACTTGCTTAGCCATCCGTGCTAAAATCGGGAACGTTCTTTCTTTTGACTTCCACCAGTCTAGAACGTCAAAGTCATCATTTTCTTCAAAATCAACTTCATATGTTAAATACAAAGTAATCTCATTCAATGCGCTTTGTTCAGTGACGTGAGTTGTTTTAGTTTTTTTCATAAGATTGCCAAATGCAGATTTAAAAATCGATTTTCCTTTAGATGAAGATGTTCGTGACGGGGGAGGGGGAGCGTTGCTATATTGTGCACGAAACTCATTAAATAAGGCATAAAATAAAGTACTAACCTCGTTGTATTCCGTTTTCGGATCTATGGGGTTATCCTCATACATTGGAAATTCACCGAAAAACGCAAGATAATAGAAGTTGAAACAATCTTCCAAATTAGCAAGTCTATAACGAGGATCGAGAATAAATGCAATACCATAAATATGGGGAATATGCGCATAATATTTTAAAAACTTTTCCTTCATATGATCACAAAAATAATGAACGAAAACGGCATTTTGAAATTCTTTAAAAGCATCGGCGAGATTAACAGCTTGTGGAATAAATTGGTTTGCGGTAGGTTTATAAACATGACTAAAAGTTTCAGTAGCATTAAAAAAATATATCAAAACATTACAAATTTTTTCGCAAGTGTCGATCTCAGCCGCGTTTATAATATAGTTATCATGTTCTTTTAAAAAAGCAGGAAAATGTTCTTTATATCTAAGAACAACTTTAAGTAATTTATAAGTACTATTCCAACGAATACTCAAATCTTTAGGAAAAGCAACATATCTCACACCTCTTTCAGTCAAATAACTTTGCCATTTTAATCTAAGTTGACCATTACCCCAAATACGTCTAACCCCCCCCCCCCCCCCCCCCCTTTATTACTTCCATGGAATCTCCTAACGCTTTTAAACCGTCTTGCACACATAAATTTATAACATGACATGCACACCGTTGATGAAAAAATCTACCCATCAAAGAATTGGCACCACACAACTCACGCAATCTAGGTATAGCAGCAGTATTATTAGTAGCATTATCGAAACCAATAGCAAACACCTTATCAATCAAATTATACTCAATTAAAATACGCTCAATCAAAATATAAATATGTTCAGCGGTGTGACGATCATTAAATTCACGAAAAGCAAGAACACGTTTATGCATATTCCAATCCTCATCAATATAATGTGCAGTCAGACCCAAATAATATAAATGATGAAAATCATCCTCCCATATGTCAGAACAAATAGTAACACGCCCATCAAAGTTTGCAAAAAAATTTTGTAACCTTTCCTTTTCCGCATTATAAAGCCTTATTATTTCTTTCTTAACAGTTTTGCGACTATAATTTCTAAATTGAGGATTTAAACTACCTTGTGCATAATCTCTTAAAGCAAGACTTTCAGAAAACAAATAAGGCAAATTTTCTTCACAAATTAAGTTAGCCATACCAGTCAAATTTTGTGCATCATTGTAGGAGAAATTACCAAAAGGTTGAGAATTCGCAAACCTCGATATTTGAGTTTGCTTCCCCGTTCCGCCGCCTAATTTTGCATACTCCACGGGGTGCTTTGCCTTAAGATGCCTTGCGGCGGATCCGTATCCGCCGGAGGTTCCCAAACTATAATTGTTGTTGCACCACTTGCAAGTTGCGTGCCAATAGCCGGTTTGTGGGTCCTTCCATTTATCAAAATTATTTTTCATTAGTTCAGACTTACTTTTTTTATTACCGGTGGCGGTTTGGGATGAGGCAGGCGCGTCGGCGTCGTGGCTGCCGGCACCCTCCTCCTCGGCCGTCTCCGGTTCCAATTCCTCCGCATCTTCATCCTCAAGCTCCTCTTCGTCAATGGTCGTCGGCATTTGTTGTTGTTGTAGAAAGCGGTTATTATGTCGGGCCAATTCTTGTTGGAGTTGTTCTTCGGACATCGCATCTCCATCTCGCCTTTGGTAACCCGTTTCAAAATCATCTCGACTTTGAGATGAAGACCCGGCAAGTTCTTTACCTTTGCGGGATTTCTTCCTCCCAATCTCGTTTCTTCGATTGCGTTGGAGGTTACCCAAATCAACCGAATATCTACCACCTTCCATCTAAAAAATGTAACAAATATTAATTCACAACAAATATAATAATGGATACAAAACTAATGCAACTAATTAAAACTATTTTAATTAATACTTCAAACTAATTTTTTGCAAAGTAGAATTAATGTGTGTGTCTACAATTAAAATTATAGCAACTTTTGAAGTAAATAACTAGTACAAGTAAAAATGTAACAACAATGCTAATTAAGTAGTTAACTAGTATAGTGACAAATGTAACAAACTAACAACTAGTTAAATAAAATGTGAAGTATTTTAATTAGTATAATGAAAAATGTAACAAGAATGGTATTGAAGTATTGAACTAATTAACTAGTATAATGAAAAATGTAACAAGAATGGTATTGAACTAATTAACTAGTATAATGAAAAATGTAACAAGAATGGTATTGAACTAATTAACTAGTATAATGAAAAATGTAACAAGAATGCTAATTAAGTAATTAACTAGTATAATGAAAAATGTTACAATAATGGTAATGAACTAATTAACTAGTATAATGAAAAATGTAACAAGAATGCTAATTAACTAATTAACTAGTATAATACTAGTTATAGTAAGTAATATATAATATAATGTTTATATTATATAATATATAAGTATACTATACTATACGATGAGTAATACACTTATATTTTATACTTTAATATATAAATATATATTAAGTAGATGTAGAATGTATGTATTAAGTGGATATAATAATTGTATAAGAATTAAATATTAGAGTATAATGGAGAATTGGAGATTGGAAAATAAGTATATATAAAATATAAGTAGAGAAGTAGATATTATTATGTATTAAGTATATAATAATAGTTTATAAAGTATATTTAATACTTTATTATATAAAGTATATATTAAGTAGATATAGTATGTATGTATGTATTAAGAGATATAAGTAGAAATTAAGTAGATAAGAAATATAAGCAATATAGTATATGTAGATAATAATATATATAAGTAGATAATTAATATATAAGTAGATATAATAATTGTATAAGTATTAAATAGTAAAATAAAATATAAAGGAGAATAAGAGAATTAGAGAAGATGAATATGGAGAATTGGAGAATGGAGATGAGTAGAGAGTAGGATTTAGAAGAGTTGGAGAAGAGGTGTGAAAAAATGTTTAAAATTAGGAGTATTTATAGGTTTTTTTTTTTAACCCCCACCCCCCACCCCAACCCCCCACCCCACCCCCCCACCCAAACCCCCCTGACCCCCCCTGGTACACCCAACGGCTATATAGCCGTTTGGGGTAGCCGTTTGAGCCAAAACAATCCAAAAAAAAAAAAAAAAAATTTTAAAAAAAGTGGACCGTTAGGCCCGGGCCCGGGCCCGACCCGGCCGGGCCGGGCCTCCAAAACCAGGACCCGAGCCCGGTCCCGCTAACCCGACCGGGTCTCTGCCCGAACCGGACCCGGACCCGAGAACCGGGCCGGTTCCGGGCCCGCACAGTGACGGGCCGGGCCGGTCCCGGGCCGGGCGGCCCGAACCGGGTCCACGCCTAGTGGGGCATAATCAGGTTGATGCAGGACCTAGGTAGAATTAGACAGAGCCTAGTGCATATGCAACGACTTTCAGGATAATGGATCCCTTTGGAGGGAAAATGAAAGAAATCTCCTCTGATGGAACAGCATTTTCTTCATACAGGAAAATAAACATATGCAGCATACAGTACCTACTGATATGAGAATCAATACAGAGCGATATAAGATTCCATAAGCGTGAATCAAACCATATACTCTACGAGTTCATGAGGCCTTACCTATCTTCTCCTCTCCAAGGGCCTGCCTTTATAACGTTACATCAGGGGGGCCTTGACCTGAGAACCAGCCGACAGCACAGGCTGCGATTTTGGGGTACACATAAGAATGATAAGATACCACAAAAGGTCAGATTGATCCAGTTGACTGACTATATCAGAAGTGAACAAAGCAGTCTCCAATTCTAAAGCTGCATGCAAAGGTACCTTTGAATATCTAATCAAAGTTCAAGGCAGAAAGCACATGTTGGGCTAACCAAAGCAGGTTGATTAAAAAAACCCTACTTTGACGCCATGTGCATGGAAACTTGGATATCCGTCTATTACAGAAGCACTAAGAAAAACAAACACTAGTCCAATACACCCCCTCTCCTTTCTATACAATAATCATTTTACAAGAGGAATGTGTACATTTTGGAGACATTCACTTGAGGAAACCACATGCTTAAAAGACAACTGCTCTTCATAGCTCAACAGTGAAAACCATTTCCTTAAGCAAATGGTAGCTTGATACTGACTTTCAAATCCAGAAATTTCAGCATTTCTTTCCACAATCTCTGCAAAGTTGAGAGGAACTACGCCCAGTAAAGCAATGGCAATGGAAAACTGAATCTCATGACTGACTGTTTTAGAATCACACCCACAGAGCAAAGCTGATAACCGATCTCTCAAGTTCTGGATTGTAATATCTTCATATCCATTAGCTGAAACCCCATACCTGTAGAGTGTTTGAAAATATATAAATTAATATTCACATGATATGCCAAACAGAATAGAAACATGCTCCCACAGAAAGCATGACAATTACAGAACATCAAACACAAGTTAGCAGAAATATCATTTTCCCATGAAAACAGGATAGGGAAGAGAGATAATTTGTGGGGGAATCTGGGATGTACGAAATTCATGGTCATTAAGGGTCTTTGACAATCTGTGTGTGAATGGCCAATCTTACAATACTTAAAATTGAAAAAAATGCTGTACCGCAAAAAAATGTAAAGCACCCAAAAAGATGTTCAATTCCACTGTCTAGCCAAGAACAACAATGAGATAAAAGCATGTTAAATAGAGAATATCCTCAAATTCTTTGAAATACCTTCCAAGTTGGGCAAGAAGAACCAGAATAGCTGCAGGTACATGCTCCAATGGGCATGATTCCATCATTTTTGACACAGGGCGCACAATATTTTCAACAGTCCAATCCCAGCTCTGCAGGAAAGATGTGAGTAGTTCCATTACATAAACTAGGAATCAAGGTGATTCTTTTTTGAATGAAATCAGAGTGAGACAAAGCAATGCGGCAAATCAGAAGAGGTAGCAGATTATTAATTACAAATGTACTTTTTATACATAAAATTAACATATTGGAATTCTCATCCAATACACTTAAAGGGTGGATTTTTTTACCCACCCTCATCTGAGCCAAGAACAAGTGGAATTCTCATCGCCCATCATTTACACAGCCAACAAAACCCCAACCACACATGTCAAGTGGACAAAATTGTCTATCTACACTCTTTGGAAAATTGAAGTGCTTTGTATTCACCAACTAGAATCATCTCCAAAAGACAATACTATATTGAAGTGTAAAAGGATTCATATTGCAACAACAATGCAAAAAATCAGAGTGATGGGTTTAAGAAGCATACCATGTAGCAAGATACAAGTTCAACTAATGCAAGGACATCAGTCAAGAAGCACCCATTGCCATCATCGGTAACAGAGTATGGCGTGTCCGCTGTTCTTGGAGCAGCAGAAATGTCCATATTCTCTGTATCATTCTTTTCTCCATTGATTGAAGGATGGATAACTTTAACCTTTTGCCTTGTACTGGACCAGATACAGTTCTGAAGTTTATCTAGGAGCATTGATGTGACGCCATCCATAGAAGATGAGCCGCCATCCATAGAAGATGTGCCTTCTGAAAATGGGCAATTGCTGCCTGACCATAATTTAGACAGATCCTCAGCCAAAGATGTAAAGCAGGAACTACAGTCAGGAGGGTTAAGCTTCTCAAGGAACATAACCAGGGATCTTACTACAGCCATTACAAAGCAATACTGTTTGATGCCAAAATACTTGTGCCCACATACATAGGCAAAGATATGGAGAGCAGTTAGCACGAATGAAGGGTCTGATTTTAACATCCTCAGAGTGTTGAATGATGCTTCACAAATGAAACCAATGTGGTCAACTTCAGCACATAATGAAGCTAACAAAATGCATCCAGCCACTGACAAGTTTATGGAAGCTTCTTGACTAACGAAGCGTACACCATTAGCATTCAGAACAAGGTTGATCCTAGAATCCTTTGAAGATTTCGAATCAGAACAGACATTATCAAACATCAGAACTTCTCTATGCAAGATGAAGTCTTCTAAAAGTGAAAGCAGTTCATACAAATTCCATGATTCATCAAAAGTCATACCATTGTTCACGTCAGAGGGCACTGCATATAGATGTAACGTAGTCATTACAAATTGATCAACATGAAAAATGGAAAATATGCAGATAGCAAACACTACACTATCACATGAAGGAACTATATGACAAGAACCTGTACATATGTGATGAGCAAAAGATGCAATACGCAGGACCGAGGCTCTATCCCAACCATTGCAGAGATCACTTGTTTCCATTTCTGAAATGTAGTGCAGCAAGACTGACAAAAACACTGATGCTTTTTCCCTGACAGGATCAGTAAAACGAGGAAATATTAGCAGTTTGTTTCTACATGTCTATATTTAAGATAATTGGATCAAAGCACCAAACACTCAATCTCAAACAAGGATAATAGGCAACCTTTGAATCCTCAGTAGGACAATAGGCAATGGCATTCAGGCTAAAGTGAAAAATCAGCGAGGACGATGAGACAATAGTTTAACTTGATTCACATATCATGGCAGTTCTACCAAAAGCACCACATACTCACTAGGAGGATAAAAGGTAGTATCAAAAAAATATTCATCTAGCACACCAGTGAGGATTCAACTTATTTTTAATGAAGTCCAAGAGGTAACCAAGTAACTTGATTTATGAAGATTTCAGTCGAACAACAATAGCAACATTACCCCAGTGCCGCAAAGGCTCCCACCTACGATGGTGGGGTAAGGGGGGGTCAGATGTACGCAGTCTTACCCCTGTACTAAAGCACAAAGCGACTATTTCCGGATGACTCGTGATGAAAAACGCGTTGAAAATTGCATGGACTGATGATTTATGAAGATTGGAGTACATGAAAAAAACTTATATAATTAACCATTTATATGATATAACTACTATAGAGGTTAAGAACATACATGAGTGACGAGAACATAACATGGATAATGTTACGGATGCATTTTAGAAGAGTTTAATTAGAACAATTTAATTAGAAGAGTTTAATCAGAAGAGGGAATTATCCTGATGCTATTTTTATATTTTATTTATTACTTCCTATTAGGAATAGAAGTATTAGAGGTTACAGTTTCCGTTAGATTAGAACTCCTATTAGGAATATAATTATTAGATGTTATAGTTTCTGTTAGATTAGAACTTTATCATGTAAAGGCAGGATGCCTATTTATACTCTTTATTCAGCATGAATAAAATCATCGATCATTAGAAATATTTCCAGAGAAAAGTCATGGACTTTCCCAGTTTCCCCTGCCCTCTTCCAGCCACGGGCAAGAAGAGGAGTAACCCTAGCCGGCAGGTTCTGCCCTCACCCACGTACCCTGCCACAGCAAGACGACCTTGGACCCGTTCTCAATCCCAGAACCCTAACAATTTGGTATCAGAGCCATCAAGATCCATGGAGCCACCGCAAGATGATTTAGCGACTATGATGGAGTTTATGGATGCTATGACTACTAGGGTAACCGCCATAGAAGGGCAGATTGCCACTCTATATCTGGCAGTCCACATACGGGATTCCAAATCAACAGAACCACAGGAAGAGACAGCTGATAACAGTCTGATATCACACAGCACGGGAGAGGTTTAAAGAACTCTGCCTGGAGCGCTTTGGGCCCCCTTTGAGTTCTAACCCGATTGGAGATCTGAAACTTCTGATGCAGATCGGATCAGTTGATGAGTATTGTGCCCAATTTCAGAAGGTCTTAGCAAGAACTTCACAAATACAGTCCACCCATCAGATTGCTTTGTTTGTCGCCGGTCTCCATCCCCACTTACGGGCTTATGTGGAGATAGCAAAACCAGGCAACCTGGGTTACGCAATGAGCCTTGCACGGTCATTGGAAGCAAGGCAAACATTGACGCTTGCACCAGTAAAAGTCTCGGGTACGACAACAGATATGAAACAACGCAGCCCGCCACAGCTTAGACAAGCGCTTGTGACAACAAAGGCAGGAAATCCCATTGCTAAGCGACTCACGAAGGATGAAATGGCAGAAAGACAAGCAAAATGGCTATGTTATAATTGTGAGGAACATTGGACGATGAATCACCGATGCAAAAAGCTTTTCTTGATCGAGATAGAAGATGAGCAGGAAGAAGATGATGGCTTCCCAGACTTGGAGTTGTCTGCCACCGCTATAAGTGGAACTATTAGTTCAATGGCAAGGCAGCACACCAGACAAGGCCACTTGGGAGCCGTTTGACACTTTTATCACTGCTTATCCAGGATATGAGCTTGGGGACAAGATCAGTTTCGAGGGAGGGAGTGATGTTACGGATGCATTTCAGAAGAGTTTAATTAGAACAATTTAATTAGAGGGGGGAATTATCCTAATGCTATTCTTATATTTTATTTATTACTTCCTAATTGGAATAGAAGTATTAGAGGTTACAGTTTCTGTTAGATTAGAACTCCTATTAGGAATATAATTATTAGATGTTATAGTTTCTGTTAGATTAGAACTTTATCATGTAAAGGCAGGATGCCTATTTATACTCTTTATTCAGCATGAATATAATCATCGATCATTAGAAATATTTCCAGAGAAAAGTCACGGACTTTCCCAGTTTCCCCTGCCCTCTTCTAGCCACGGGCAAGAAGAGGAGTAACCCTAGCCGGCAGGTTCTGCCCTCACCCTCGCACCCTGCCACAGCAAGACGACCTTGGACCCGTTCTCAATCCCAGAAACCTAATAGATAACAAGACTTTTCATTGTAATTTCAAGAGTAAGGACTCATATGCATGTAACACAGTACATTATTGTCATCAATATATTAAAACAGAGGAGTAACAAGATTGTGCTACTTACCGGTTACTGAACTGTCGTGCAACACTAGGAAACTCTGAAAAAGAGTAAGCGGAAGGAGACTGACAATACAAGAATGTCAGGCATGCAATTTGGCTTCATGCCTGGGAGATCGAAAATGAACTATACGTTTACTAAGGACACTAATCAAGGACCATTGAAGAAATTGAAAGAATTACCCGTAGTGTTTATTGGCTTGGAAAAGATATATGATCAAGTCCCCACATTTGGTGCTTCAACCTTAGAACTATATTGTCTATTGTTCAAATCTATACTTGTTATTTTGTGTCCATAAATGGGCCGTCCATCGTCAAGGCAAACTGGGTTATCACCATGGTTGTTGCCATACACCATGACAATTATGTAAGGTCCAACTGGATGGAGAATATAATACAGACATTGAGCGTAGAATAAATGCAAGAAACACAAAGTAAGGGAATGCATAGTGAATCTTGTGCAATCGGAAGGTAACACTTATGATAGTTATGACAAAAGGGAAATTCTATATATAAAGTGGCTAGGACCGTTGGGTGGTTAAATATCAATACGTTCACAAAATTTTGGAGGCAGAGATGACAGTGTTGATATGATTATAAGAGTGTGTTAAACTAGGAAGGACAGAATTAGTAATGAGGCAACAAGATAAGAGAGGAAGTAGGGAAAACCCCAATAGGAGGTAGTGACAAGAAAGAGCTACTTAGGATGGTTTTGTCCTGTTCTGAGTCCGAAGGCCACACAAATTAAAATGTTTTGAAGGCATAAAACACAACTTGAGAGGAGTATATGAAGACCTAAATGACTTGGTAAGAACCCAATAAAAGTGACCTAATCAGTATGGAGCTTACAGAGGAGATAGAACTCATCATCATCATCATTTACCCCAGTGCCGCAAAGGCTCCCACCTATAGTGGGGGGGGTCGGATGTACGCAGTCTTACCCCTGTACTAAAGCACAAAAAGACTGTTTCTGGATGACCCATAGTGAAAATCGCGTCCAAAATTGCATGGACTGACTGTTGCTTCATAACAAAGAAGTGCAGACAGTTTAGTAAGTCATTTTGCTTTATTCCATCATATTCTCGAGCCAAAAAATAGTGAATCTTTGGCTCCATTGAAAATAACTTACAGAGGAGATAGAACTCAACCTAAATAAATTGTGTCGCTTGATGCCTACTTAATCTTTAACTTGACTGCATTTAGTGGGATGTTCTTAATTTAATTTCGTTTAACAGCCTTCCTATTAAACAACTGTTACAATATTATGGCTTACTCAAGTAGAACATCATAACTAATTATTTACTCCATATAACTTTGCCAGTATTTAATAAGAAGCACCTAAAGGAGAGACGTCCAGCAGAACACAGATATGACTCATAATCCATCATTCCGGCACAATCTATATCAGATGTACAAAATATTAACCAGGTGCACCTGTGAGTGCTACAGAAAAAGTTATAAACATATCCCTGATATTAATTTACTTGGTAAGTATTAAGTTTCCAAGACATTCAAACCCCGCAACTTCAATGCAAACCTTGCACTCCTAGCAGAGAATAATGAAATAAACATATCGAGAATGGATGGTTACCACTATACCTAGAGAAGGTCAACTTTATAGAGAATATACACAAGCTAGGCATATCACATCAATAACAGCAGAACCTTTGATAATGAAAAGAAACAAAATAATTTTTAAAAGGGTAATGGATGCATGGATGAAAGATACGAAGTGTAAATGGCTTACTTGGATGAAAGATCTTGAGCACCTGAAATGAAAATGACAATGTTCCTGAGATACAGATTTGATGCTGAAACTGTTGAACACTGATTCATGAAGTTTTTGGTTGCCGAGTATACTGCGGAAATGCTTTCCACTTTGTCATTATCAAAAAACACAACACAACACTTTGGTATACCATGACATGGGTTTGGGTCTCTGCTACCACTTGAAACCTTTGAACTCTCATTAGCACAAGCTAATACATCAACTGTACTCATTGGTTCACTGATAGAATTAGATATATGCGCCTGCAAAAATTTAGGGCAGTCAATTCCATTACCATTTATGTAGCTAGATGTATTAGCATGATCACTAACCTCTGGTGACAATGATTTTTTTGAATTCCCTATGGTACCATGTGTTGCCTTATTTGAGTTGATTTCCAAATCAAGGACATCAAAGTGCTCCAGTGGAGAAAGGCTCCCCTTCATACGTGAAAGTTCCCCGAGAGAATTATTATTATTATCTAATAAGAGATGAGAGTTACTTGATACACGTGCATTGCTTTCACACTTGATCTCTGGAAGTTCAGGTGACAAAGGCATTTGGAGTGCCAAACGATAAGATTCTTCATCTACACTATTATCCAAATCAAGCAGTTTCATGTAGTCATCTCCAACCAGTAACTCAAAATCTCCAAGTGTATCACTCCTATCCTTTCCGTTATCATCAGTTCCACTGCGATGATGAACGGGTGGGATGGAATTTGCAAGTATACTACACTCTTGCATACCCAACACTTTGAGGTTTGCCTTTACCCTATCGGCATCATTCACATGACACTTCCGAAGTTTTTCAGAAGAAGCCTTTCTTTTCTTATGAGATCTATCATGAAAACTGGCAATACCGTCTTCCACACGAGGAAGGAAGCACGCTATAGTGCTTCCAGATTTATCAGTTTGGTTTTCTGACACAGAATGCAGAAAAAGTACCTGTTTCTGTTGCGGCTCATTCTTAGACTGCAAACTGCAAATAGCATCAATAGACCTCTTCCTTTTCTTATGATGCCGACTGCTCCTCTTGGTAGATGTATCAATAACAGGACTTTTGACACCACTTTCCACAATTGTTGCAAGATTCTCATTGCACTTCTCTTTTGGGTCGGATTTATTTTCAGCAAATTTATCTGATCTGGTGCCAGAAGAATGTCTTTCCTGTGAGCCGACCAATGGTCTATCAGAAAAAGATGTCGAACAGGAATTTATGGCAGAACTCTGTAACACTTTTTTGTTAACGCCTTTAAGCAAAGGCTCCAATTCAGAATTAATACCTGAAACACTTCTAGTGCCATTTACTCCAGATATAGCAAGCACAGGTGCAATGCCTTCATCTACATTTTCCCTGAATGAATCAGTTTCATCAGCAGCAGCCATTAGAGCAATCCCATCTTTGAGATGAGAACGCGTCTGATATGATTCAATACCGAATTGTTGATTTTTCAGTTTTTCCTGCAAAGTAGAAAATCATCAAGACAAGGCCATTAGATTTTTTTAAAATGACTGCAAACTCTTTTCAACACAACAAAAAACAAGCTATGGATAGTACTTCTAACAGCTTACTTACTAGTCTTTTTTGGTAGCCAACAATAGCATCTTTTTTAAAGGCAAAATACTAGTCTAATGATTTGCTAATTCAAATAGCCATCAATGGGAACTTTAGTACACAGTACAATAATACAGCCTACTACCTAAGAGGAATGACATAAATAATCATTTCAAATTGAAAAACATCTTTTCCATAGCAGCGTGCATAAAAAACAAACCTTTTCAAGATCTTGAATAGCTTCATCAGAGCAAATGAAATAATCATCCAATAAATTCAAGCGCTTTGAAAATTGAGAAATATCTTGTTTTAAGTGCAATAGTTCTTCTTTTAGTATGCCATTACGAGCTTTTTCGAGCTCTGCGGCTCCTTTTGAGTGCTTTACCAACATCTTTTCCAACTTCAGTTGCTTTTCCAAGAAACTGATTTTAGCAGTTTGACATTTCAAACTTCTATCATGTGAATGAAGAGCAGATTCAGCAATTGATCTGGAGGAAACAAGGGAATTGATTTCCTTTTGTAGCTCTCCTAACCTTTTCTTGTAATCCTTTACGTCACGTGATAACTGGTCTGCACGATGCTTTTCCTTTGATGCCTTTTTCTTGTATGCCTCGAGAACTTTTTTCTGATCTTCTAGCTGCTTTACTATCTCTGGATGGGCAAGTTTTTCTGCTGCTTCTCTCTTCTTATCAGATACGTTATCAATTAATATCCTAGACGACTTAAGTTCAACTATCTCCTTCTTTAGAATCTCAATTCTTTGGTTATACTGGTCCAGCTGCTGTGACAAATCATCAGCGCGACGTTTTTCATCCATTGCCATCTTCAAGTTTGTATCAGCAAGCTTTGTTTGCTCTGCAGCTTTCAAGATAGATGAGTCTGCCCGTTTTCTATCTGTCTTTCTGTTTTGCATATCTGTGTCCAATTTCTTCTTCATCTCTGCTGCTTTTGATGTCTCCAACGCCAACTTCATTTTAACTTCATCAACATCCTTCATCGCAGCCTCCAGCTTCAGCCTATTTTCTTCAGCCTCTTTTCTGTCACTTTCAACTAGCCTCCTCTCTTCATCGGCCTTAGTTTTCTCAATTTTCAACTTTTTCCTTAACTCATCAGCTTTTTTCCTCTCTGCATCGGCTTTCTTTTTCTCTGAATCTGCTCTGAGTCTCTCATTCTCAAGAAACTCCTTCAGTCGGCTAACTTCTGCATCCTTTTCTGAAAGGAACCCCTGAAGTTGTACCTTTTCTCTTTCCCAATCTTCACTAGCAGGACCTGACTTTTGCTGCAACGAAAGAACATTGGTCTTTAGAGCATCCACTTCACTCTCCAAGGAAGCTCGCAGAGCAGATTCTTTTTCTCTGCCATTTCTTTCATTTTCTGCCTGTTTTTTCTCGCTCTCATAAGCTGAAATAAACAGAAAGCTATTAAAAGAAGCTGATGAATAAGTATTAGTTAAAGATAAGAGCATAAAGTTTTAAGAATTACTCCACATGAATATAACACCATATTTCAGTGAAAAAAACTTCTCCTTTTGAATGTCTATCAAGGATTAAACCATGAACAAACTGGACAGGTTCATTACTTTATTCGGACACTAGAAAACTGAAAAATGAATTCAGCTGAGTCACATACCCTTCTTCAAAGTGAGATTCTCAGATTGCATCTTGGAAACCTGCAGCTCATAGATTGACAGCCCCTTGCGAAGGGCAATGCGGCCTTCTTCGAGCTTAGAATACCTCTCTTTCAACTTGGCGTACTTTTCCTTCCACTGCAAATGCCCGAATCGATAAATTGCATATTCTGTTGAATAATACCAGGGCAAAAATAATTAAGAAAACAAAACAAACAAACAAACATACAGCAGTGCAACATGAGTTGGAAAGCTCTCCTTTAGCCATGACATCCTCCTCTGCCATAACCGCTTCAACCCGCCACTAGAGAAATAATCAAATAAACATTGGCCTAAACCCCTGAACCCTAATCCCTGGGATTGTATTTTAACTCAACATTATTTTGTATCAATATATAATGCCAGGGGGAAACGTATGGAATTATTCTTTTGTGCCCATGCTGATCGAACCGCCAGGTCCGCCATTACACCTTACAACCTCGCAAGTCATGCACTATTGGATCTGACGACAAAGCACGGTGTTTGGACGTAATACGGTTTCTGCTTCTTTTTTAAAGTTGAAGCAGAATCATTTTTCAGAAGTTGGTCCCCAGGTTCTAAAAAAATTGATTCTGGGAGTAATTTTCAGAATTGTTTCTAGAATTTCACTCAAACACTCCAGCTTCTACTTATGCTCCCTGAAGGAGCAGAATCAGTTTTGAGAATCAGATCCAAACACCCCATAAAACCGAACCTTGTTTATTTTAGGCTTGTTTGCAATTGCTTGTGCTTTTTCGTGATGATTTTAGGACCCGTTTGGTATGATGTGAAGTCAGAGCCAGCCAAGAGGCCAGTTTGGCTAGGCATTTGCGTAGGGTCTCTCAATTTACAGGGGCCTCAATTTGTTTTTATATTAGGAGCCCGTTTGGCAACCCGGTTTTTTGGTTTATCAGACTTATCAGCCAGTTTTTTCACCAAACACGCAACTTTTGCTTTCGCGCGCTGAATTGTGTAATAAGCAGAAAAAGTAAGGTTGGAGTTACTTTTCTGGCTGTATTGGCTGAAGTTACTGTAAATGACTATTTTAGCTATTTTACATATAATTTTTTCTTGGAAAAATTGATAGTAATAATCTCAACTATTGGCGGTCCGCTCATAATATCCCAACTATTGATTATTACAGAATAATCCCAACTTTAGGGACCTTCCGCCAATAATGGTCCCTATGAATAAATTCTTGTAGTTTCTAAAGTGGATGGGGTGAGATATAATAAGTAATCCCTCTAAATAATCTCAACTTTTAATTTTTACGCTTAATTTATATTTAAAATTCACTTTTTATAGAGGTAATATATGGTCATGGACCATTATTGGCGGATAGTCTATATAGTTGGGATTATACAAAAATAATCAATAGTTGGGATTATTTTCAGCGGACCGGCAATAGTTGGGATTATTATAATCACTTTTTTCTTTGTTTTATTAGTAAAATATATTTATAAAATATTTTTTTCTTAAATCAGCAGAATCAGCCAATGTAGCCACTTCAGCCAGAACTTCATAATTTTCAACAGAATCAGCCAAAACAGCCGATTTTCATGCTACCAAACGGGCTCTAGAAGTATTCGAATGAATCTGATCCTTGCAAGGACGGAAGGCTCAAGGCCCCCAAAGGCCCAAACCAACTGCTACGCTGCCCCTATTCCATCTGTGAATCCTGGCAATTCCAATTTCTGTTGACTTTTTTTTCGGTTTTATTGGTTCCTCTGTGGCCCTTTTCTTTCAGATTTCGGCAACCCAACCTTCAAGAAATCCAAGTTCCATCGTAGCCTTCTAGCTAGTCCCAAGCATTAGTATTACTTACTTAATTCGTATTAGGCTTGGCATAATAACTTCAGAATTTGACCAGCTTCTTCACTTATTAGTTTTTACATTAACAATTTATAATTGTAATTTAATTATTCGTTTAGTTATTTTGTCAGTAATATTGTATTTTACAATTGTAGATTTTAATTAAGTAATTGTTGATTTTAGGTTTTTGTTGATGGTGTTTTATTAATTATTATTTAGAAATGTGTTAAATATGTAGGTATTGTTGTGACAAATAAACCAAAATTTGAGTTGAAATGTGCAAAGAAAAAAAAGAGTTTGAGAAATCATTTGAAACTTTGTTTCTCATATGGGCATTTATTGTCATTTTACCTTATTTTTAGCACTATTACTTATATAAATCGCATTAATATAATATTCCCTCAGTCCCTTAAGACTTTACTAACTTTCCTTTTTGGATGTTCAACTAACATTGTCACTTTCCCTTTTAAATAAAAAATTGGTGGTTCTAGTTAACTATGTCTTATCTGCACAAACTTCAATCACACAATTTTTACTTTATTAATTCACGTGTCGGCCGGTTCAACTTGACAAAGTTTTAAGAGACGAAATGAGTACGTGAGTATTATGCGTTTTCCACCTAGGGCCTCTAATATCCTAAGGTTGCCCCTGTGTGAAGTGAAGTAAACACCTTACACGCGAAGTATGGGGAAGTTAATATTTTACATCATTTGTTTTAATTATTTAATGTAAATTGTAGGACATTTTTTTAAAAACATTTTAAACTGTATCATGTAAAATATTTTAGGCCTTATTTTACTAATATTACTAAATTAAATAAGAAAGACAACAATGTGAGCTAGTTTCAAGTTTACCAAAAATGTGACTCAACATACCTTTTCTTTTCTGTACTTTGTTCAATACGGTGTATTACAATTTTTGTATTCTATTTATTATCATTAATTGAAAAGCAATGAATTGTTCTCAGCCATCCGGCCACCACCCCAGCCTCTCACTGCCGGCAGCATTGCCACCGCACCACCACCGTCACTACCGGCACACATCCGCCACACACGTCATCGCCTTTGTCGGATGATTCTGAAACCTACCCCAACCTATTACAGTGACTGGGTTGGCTGCTAACTCGTCCAATGACTCTACAACCGACCACGTTCAGTGACAACTACCGTACGGTAAACCCTTCCACCAATTCCAGTCACTACATACTGTGCAGTGACTATCATGCAGTGACCACCATTTTCAGTGACTGCCGCTAGCCCTCAGTGACCACCGTTTTCAGTGACTGCCGTTGCCGCTAGCCCTCAGTGACCACCGTTTTCAGTGACTGTGTTGCCGCTAGGCACTAGCCATCTATTTCTGCCGACGCACCTACCTCCTCCCCAATCCCAGAACATGTCCTCTGCCCTCCACCCAACACCAGACCTCCCTGCCCCCTGCACCCTCAGATCGGTTGCACCAGATCGATCTGAACCTTGTCCGTCGGCCAGTTACCATAAGCGTGGCGCTCGAACAAAAATAAAGGAGAAGAGATGGACGGTAACACGTCTTTCCCGGACACAACCGCTTCCTTGAAATCGTTCAACAATCATAGCTAGCAGCGTACTCTGCCTTCGCCACATACCCCAACCGCTAGAAACGACGGCCATGAATATATGAAAAAAGAAAAAGAAGAACAGTGTTGTTGTGGTTGTGGCGGGCGGGTGAAGCAGCAATTGCGATGACGGCCGTCGATTGTGACAGAGCTAGGCGGAGCTTCACTGCGGTACTAGGCGGCTGTGCGAGATTGTTGGCTGTGAAACTAGGCGGTGAAGATGACAGTGAGGATCGGAGAAGATGGCGAGGGATTAGAGATGGAATAAGTGCGGCGGCGTATATACGGTCCATATAGAGGGGAGGGGATACCCGGTTTTCAAAATAATGAGTTAGGGTTAGGCTAGCCCCTTCCTTGTTTAGTTACGGACTTATGGAATACGTAGTACTTTTTTGTCAAAATTAGAAACTAGTTATACATTTGTCAATCAAAACTCTAAGAGTAATATCCTTGCCATTATTTCAATATTTTACCCAGGGAGGATGGTATACTACTTTACATTGCTATACGGATTATAAAATACACGGAGTATCACTCCCATGTTTACCAATTGGCAGCATCAAGGCAATAGTTTAGACGGTTAGACCTACTTTTCAATCTTGGTGGCGCCAAGGCAAAATAACTGGCGACAATCCAAACTAGTTGGCTCTCGACTCTCGTATACTTCCTCCTCCGTTCTTAAATGAATGCGAACGGTCAACATTTCACACTTGCCGAGACACAACTTTGACCATTAATATATATAAATTTATATTAGTAAAAAATTAAAAAAAACTAGATATTGAAAATTTACAATGAGACAAATGTAACAATATTTTTTTCATAAAAATATATTCATACATTAATAAATAAAACGTAGTCAAAGTAGAACATGTGAATAGTGTAAAATTTCATATGTTGCATTTATTTAAGAACGGGGGTAGTATAAGAAAAGAGAAATGTGAAGACAGTCAATCATCTTCTCAATTATCTTGACTCTTGTATAGTCGTATGTACAGAATATATTATTATATTTAATATATATACGTACGTATATATGGAGTGTGTGTGTGTGTATATATATATATATATATATATAGGGGAGAGTTCAAATAAAAAGTACTCTTCCCGTGCAAAGTGCGGAAATTGCACTTTTACACGTTTTGCTTGCACTTTTTCGTGTTTTCGTAGCATTTTTTTCGCCTTTTCGATTTTGGGTAAATTCGGCCAAAACCACGGTGGCAGTTTTGTAAATAAACCAATTTTTTTCGCCACCGTGAAAAAGTGCAACGAAAACACGAAAAAGTGCAAGCGAAACGTGTAAAAGTGCAATTTTCGCACTTTACATGGGAAGAGTGCAAGCGAAACGTGTATGTATGTGTGTGTGTGTGTGTATATATATATATATATATATATATATATATATATATATATATTTTCAACCTGGTTTAATCCCAAAAACCCGGAGGTCCTTGGGGTGAGGGCCAGGAAACACCCCACCTATTTATTAAAGAAACAGAAAGTTACACGAGTAGGAGGGCCAAACCAAAGCCTACTCAAAGAAAAGTTTACAAAACATAAAGGAGACTAATGACATCAAACTTGAGGTCTTCAACATTAATAAATTCTGTTTCATCCTGCGTCCCTAAAGTAAGTAGATCCGTTCTTGTCTTCGTAATAGGAGTGTAGAGCTCTAGACGGGAGAGCATGGAGTTCGTATCCTTGTAGCGATTGGAGATGAAGACCCGTCTGTGCAAGATGATGTGCGCAACCGTTGGTTTCCCTTGGTCGGTAGCACAGATACAAACCGTTTGCCAGCCTGAGACGGTTGATGTTCAGCATCGTTCTCGTCAAGTACGGAGGTAATTTCGAAAACCCGTGTGAAATTTTGATGCTTACTTCCGAATCAGTTTGAACATTGAAATGTTTGTAACCCTTGGTAACCATTTCTGTGATGGAGGTTTCCAAGGCCAAAAGTTCTGCTTGCAATGGATTTGTTGTTGAAATCGGGAAGGCCATGGCGTGTAGAAAGGTCCCATCTGCTTTCCTCATAATGGCGCCACCAGCACTCTTATTTCCACAAAAGGCAGCGTCTGTGTTCAGCGTAAGGTCGTCACTTCCCACTCTTTTCCATTTCAGTCTGATTTGTGTTATGCTTCTTTTGTTCAGTAAGGGCATAAGCCCATCACCGTGGAGTTCCTCATCAAAATGAATTCCTTTTTTGTTTTGCTTGCTGTAAATCCACTTTCTTGTATAGTCCTTGATTGAGTTAATAGTGAATGATGTTGAGAACTTTTTTCCATCCCAAATACATGCATTATACTCCTTCCAGATGTGCCACAGAATGATCCCGGGCATACACTGTCTTAAAACGTCTCTTGAATTGTTCTCCTTTCCCCCTAGCCACCACAGTAGGAGAGTTTGTCTAAGGTCTGCGTGTTGAGTCCTTCTAACCTGCAATATTCCAGAAAAATAATCCCAAATAGGACTAGTGTAAGTGCATGTGAATAAAGCATGGTTCTGGGTATCCTGGTTCACCAGGCATAAAGGACACCTTGATGGTAGTTGTAGGTTGAAGCGTTTCAGGTTATCTGGGAATGGAAGGGAATGGTTTAGGAGTTTCCAAATAAAGATTTTGATCTTTAGTTGAAGAAGGGGCTTCCAAGTTTGGCTCAGACTGAAGGTTGTGGGATGGTGGGTTCTGGCTTGGTGATAGGCACTTGTGAGGGTGAGAACTGTTTATCCTTTTCCGCTGTCCAGATAGGTTTGTTGTCTGAGATTATGATTAGATCAGGGTATTTGCCTGCTGTGATGCACAATTGTTTCCAGGTGCAGGAGTCATATGCTTTTGATGACATGCCCCCTTCCCTGTCATATCTGTCGTGCATAAACTTAGCCCAACTCGAACTGTTTTCTGTGTAAGTCCACCAAACTTTTAAATGCATAGACACTTGGATATCAAACAAAGATCTGATATTTAAACCACCCTCATCACCTGGTTTGCATATAACTTTCCAACTCTTCCAATGATATTTTGTTTTTTCCCTTTCAAATCCCCAAAAGAAATTTGCCATCAGCCTATTAAGGATGTGCATAACTTTTATAGGGAAATTGGTGACCGCTAAATGGTGCATTGGAATTGTGGGTGAGTTATTTGAGAAAGTAGCTCTGGTTTAACATATACGGATTGGGGAGTTGCCAGTTAGGAAGGATTGCCGCCAGTTCACGGCCGGTTCTGGGGGGCAAGAGGGGCGATCGCCCTAGGCCCGAAAAAAATAGAAGAAAAAATAGGCCCAATTTTTTTTCTTTATGTATATGTGAGTAGGCTTCTTTTTTTATTCTTAAGGTCAGTTAATTAGGCCTAATGTTTAATTTTGTTGACAATTTAAAGATTTAACATGCAAATATAAAATCTTAAACAGAGCCAAGTTTAAAAAAGAATATATACATTAAATTTAAGCAGGATCAGTTGTAGTTTTTAAAAGCAATACAATTGTTGCTGCATAAAAAAAAATATACATTAATTTTAAGTAGGATCGATTGTAGTCTTGACATCTCTTTAGCCTTTAAGGCTTTTTATTCATTTTAATTATAACATAACAAATATATATATATAATTAGTTTAGAGCCCATCTCTCTCGAATCTCATCCCAATTAATTATTTGTTTCCAAATTTCAATAAACTATATCTGAGTTTCTAATAGTAGTTTTAGATGACGTCAAATTGGCAATCTTCTTGCGCGAGTGTTCTTGGCGGCCAAACATTTTGTCTCTTTGAAAACTTTCATTCCTTCGAGACTTCAAACTTTAGACTCCCATCAGCGGTCAATAAATCATTCTCATCTTATGAATTCAATATGTAGTGATATTTTTTTCATATATCCTTTCAAAAGAAAGTTTAATGTTGTTATATGTGGCAAGTTTATTGTTTGTCATTTATTAGTAGAAACAAGGTTGCCTATGAGGTGATTATGAGAAAACTATCAAATAAGCCCCCGTGCTATATTAGAAAAGTCAATTAAACCCTCGTACTTTGAAAACACCTAATTAATCCCTCGAACTTCTAAAAAAACGTTCAATTAAGCCTTGTTTGCTGGTTAAGGATCGGTTTCCCGGTTATGTCACGCCCCGGACCTACCGGACACGTCAACAACCCGCCGTACAGTACGAATAGTCAACCGCAGTTCAACTCATCCATACTATACTAGGCGTCTTGAATACCATTCACACATAGTACATCCATAAACCATCATAATGTAAAATATTTATTTAAGCAGCGGAAACATAATTACGAATATTCAAGCCACACGTGGCAACCACGGGCATACAAGCCCCCAAATAAATATTCGAAATAATATCCATGAGCATTATTTAAATTGTTTTCAAAACAGAAACAGGAGAAGCACGAACCCCGCCTTCCTCCTTGAATTCCCCGAAGCAACGAGCGGTAGTAGCAAGCTCTACTCCCTACCTGAAACTGTGAGGTGGCCTCCCCCGTGAAGGGGAGGTCAGTACTTGGAAGCATTTGACAAGTACAATGACAACTATACTAAGTATAATCAAAGTTTCAATTTCCAAGACCCTCAATCTAAGATGTTATTCATTTGTAATTATCTCATGTTCTCCATGCTAGAGCTCGGCTCATAGTCATATCAATTTGTGCTAGAGCTCGGCTCATAGTCACCCTACGTTGCTAGAGCTCGGCTCATAGTCATACTAATTTGTGCTAGAGCTCGGCTCATAGTCACCCTACGTTTGCTAGAGCTCGGCTCATAGTCATACTAATTTGTGCTAGAGCTCGGCTCATAGTCACCCTACGTTTGCTAGAGCTCGGCTCATAGTCATACTACCACGTGCTAGAGCTCGGCTCATAGTCACGTCACTAACCCCTAAACCACTTCTTAGTCTAGGTTCCATCCATTTCGAGTAACCCTTAAGGCCTACTCCAAAAGTAACTTGAGTTCATAAAGTCCACCTTAAACGTATCCTTTAAGGTTACTCAACTCCAAAATCTTGGGATTAGCTCCCAAAAACTATTGAACTAACATTCCCGACTAGTATTCCTATACTAGTCATTTAATCTTAATAAACCAATGCAAATTCATAATAATTTGAATATTTCAATTTAATTCCACATTCAAGTATACTTGGCTCTAATATCAAAATATCACTTTTATCCTTCCATGACTTCCTTACATGAGGTAAAAGTATATTTATCACAATGTAATTTATAGTTTACACACTATTATACCATTGTATTCATAACACATAATCATACACAATTTATTCATAAATTTGTATATTATGCATTTTTGCTTATAAACAATAATAATCTCATTTAGGCATTTTTTTATTATAAATAAATCATGCCAAACACATATAATTCATTTAGGTAATCTTATGAAATTAACCCAATAATTATAAGCAATATAGTCGGTCATCCTCACCTTAAGCGAGCTTAAGCGCGTTCTACGCTTCCCGATTGAACTTTGACTAATTCCGGCAAACTTTGACCAACTCCGGCGAACTTTGACCAACTCCGGCGAAACTCCGGCGAAGCTCCAAAGTACTTTAATCAAGTTCCTAACAAGGTTTTAACATCATAAAACCTTAATCAATACGAATAACCTCTAAAAGGTTATTTTCCGGTGAACTTGTCGGTTTGGCTCCAAAGTCCGTTTTTGGACTTAGAACCCTCTCCCAACCCATCATTCTACCCTTAACTCATGTGGAACAATCCTCAATGTTCTTCATATGATATATATCTCATATGGTAGAAGAAAAATAAAGGGAAAGCTATGATAAGGCCATTACCTCAACTTTTCTCACTTTTTCCTAGCTTTTCTCCTCTTGAAACACCTTCTTTGGACTACTCCTCCTTGAGCTCGGTTCTTGGCTATGGAGGATGAGTTTGCAGAGCTCTTTCTCCCCTTTTCCTTGGTGCTGGCCGAAGTGATTGAGTGAGGAAGGAGGGGGTGGGTTTCTTTTTGTTTCTTTTGGGTAATTATGGGTGAGATGGGTCCTCTTACATGTCAAACATGTTTCCTCCATCAACTCAAGAGTATTCAGCCACCTTTTGAGCTCAATCAATCCCCTTTTGGTTGACAATTTCGTGGGGTGGCCCCCACCTATGTGGGAGGTCATCCCAATTCGTCCCGAAGTGTACAATCGGTCCTGAAAGTTGTATTTTTTTTGGACTGTTTTAAATATATTTTATTTCATCGGGTCAAATAAAATATATTATGTGTTCTCCATCATTATAACCCTTATAATGAATATTCATTCCCCAAATTTTAATTTATAAGTCCCCGAAATTAAATTTCGGGCTTTTATCGGTTAAATTGCCAATACCGGTATTTGGGCCTCTTTTGACCAATCGGTCAACTCAAGACCTTTCCATGGTTCACTTGAATTATCCACCACCATATAAATATTATCTAGACCAAGATGAATAATTTTATGTGGTCCCGGGAATATCGGGCGGCCCCCGCTCCCGGTGCGGGCCCCACGTGCGAACTTACTATTCATGCAAAAGAATTATTAAAAATTCGTAACATCATAAATTCGTTAACCATTCCATAAGGTTAAAATACAATATTCACTTAAAAGTAAATACACTTGGGGACGGTGTTACAGGTTAACTGCTCGCGTGGCGGCCACGTGGCATGCCACATGGCGATTATTTCCTTTTCTCTTTATTTTTCTCCTACGTTTTCTTTTCTATTTCTCTTTCCTATTCTTTTCTATTTCTGGTTCCCTTCTTCCCTGACTTACCCATCGTTCCCCTCTTCCCAGGACTACTCCATCTGCATCAAGATTCAAGAGACCTCCCTGGCTGTTATATTGTAAGCCCAGGTGACCTCCTTCCTCATGTCCAAGGTCCTGAGCAAACACGGCTCTTCCTGTCGGGACCTCCGGTGAACTCCGCAAAAGGGCTGCAACTCCGGCGAGGTTGGCTTCTCTAATTCTCTCCTCTATGCGAACAGGAAGAGAGTAAACGGTTCTGGTTCGGACGGTTGCCATTCACCCCTGTTGTTTTATGCTCAAATTGAGAAGCAAAATTAGATCCTACGGTGCGGAAGAAATTTTCTCGGTTCCTCAGAACTCCTTGGTGGCTTTGTCGTAACTCGTAAGCCCAGGCAACTTCTTACGCCGAATCGAAGGTCCAGAGCAAACCAGCTGCCATAATCTACGGCGAGCTCCGGCAGACTCTGGAGACGACAGCCTCTCTCTGGCGGAAAAAATAAATAAAGAAACTAAGAGAGAACGAAATAAAGAAAGGAAAAACTAAAAACGGAGAGAAAAGTAAATGACGACAATGGGGAAAAGGTCCTTGCCATCCTTGGGATTTGGGAAGATGGGGGAAATGACGAACATAGTTGCGGAAGTTGCCAGGAAAGAGAGAACAACAAGAAGAATAAAGAGAAAAGAAAATATTCGCCATGTGGCATGCCAGTTAACCGGGAAACCGGTCCTTAACCGGCCAACAGGGCTTAATTGAACATTTTTTAGAAGTTCGAGTGTTTAATTGGGTGTTTTCAAAGTACGAGGGTTTAATTGACTTTTTTTGATATAGTACGAGGGCTTATTTGATAGTTTTCTCAAGTGATTATTGATGATTTGCTTCATATTATTCTACGAGAAATGTTTTTTAGTAATGTTTTTTTCTTTTTATCCGATACTCGTGTTGTTACTTTTGCCCAAATATGTAACTTAAATAATACTACCTCCGTTCCTAAAAATTCTTCCCGGTTTGAATCGGCACGCTTATTAAGAAAGTGGAATAAAGTGGAAATGTGTGGTTGTAGTTGTGTAAGAAAAAGGTAAAATGAATATGAGCCACACAAATTGTCCAAAAAGGGAAAGTGGGAAGTATTTTTGGGAACGGCCCAAAAAGGAAAGTGAGAAGTATTTTCAGGAACGGAGGGAGTAATAACAATAATAATAATAAAGTGATTTTCAACTTTATTTTATGAACTTCGTTGGATATTTTTATTATAATTCTTATTTCAAAATTCAAATAAGTATACGGTTTATGGTTTGTCTTGGATATAAGCCCAGAATAGCATACCGCCCATAGGCCCAGAAATGGGCAGGATCGGCCCTGCGCCAGTTCCATACAATGTGTTTACTTTGCATTCATTTTAAAAATGGATTGCATACCTCACCAAACAATACTCCCTTCGTCCCAATATAAAAGGCACACTTTCCTTTTCAGGCCGTCCCAATATAAAAGGCATTTTTCCCTTTTTGACAAACAAAACAGTGCCAAACAGTGTCAAACAGTGTCTAAACAATGTCAAATAGTGTTCAAACAGTGTTCACCCTAAAAATGTGTGGAAACACAAATGTGCCTTTTATATTAGGACGGAGGGAGTATGTTTTTATTTTACGTGTAAAATGATTACACCCCTACGGTTTACATGCAATCACTTTACATGTAAAAATTTAATATGCAAAGAACCAAACGCCCCTAAGAGATTATTGGAAAAGTGTTTTATAGTAAAAGTGGTAGTGTTTGAGAATATAAGTGATTTTAGTTAAGGTAAAAGTTGAAATGTTTGGGAAAAAGGTGATTTGTAGGGTAACATATTATTAAAAGACAAAAATATCCTTGTGAATCGGATTGGAAGGCAGAGCCTTGGTTATTTTGGGGCATCGGTCTCACTGTTGATCGGAAGACAACCCGTTGTCGTTGTTGGTCTCGCCTTCGCAGGGGAAGTGATTTACAGTTTCCGATCTGCAAGTAATTGTCCCTATCGATAAACACGAGGAGGAAGTTCAACAGTAAAATCGACTGGGTCTTTTCCGCGATGTTTCCCTCCCTCTTTTCAGTGGCCATTGTATTAACGTAATCTGCAACGCCGGCAGATTCTCCGAGTGGCCGGATCGTCCATGGTTCAACAGTCGCTAGATCGCTTTCCACACACACACGCATTCAAAGTATCAACAAATCAGTCCGTACATCATTATGTGATTATGTGAAAGAAGTCATCTGGAAGAACTTTGATGAAGTGGTCATGGTTTTGGAAAAGAAAGAGGGCTGGATGATTGCGGCATATTCGAAAACGGTGCAACAGAGGGATGACCGGATGTGGGAGGGGCATTTTAGGTTTAATTGAAATATGTAATCTAATAAAAGCTAGACGCAGATAAAAGCATCTAATGGGAGCTTTCAACTTTTGGCTTAGAATAGCTTTAATTTAAGCTGAAATGAGCATTTGCAAACACCTGTATTGGCTTTTTTTTTACAAAAAAACTGTAAAGTGCTTCCAAGAAGCATTTGCAAACAAAGCCTTATTCCTATCCCTCCCGGGTGATACAATGTGCCACCTAATAAGCATATAACTTAGGGCCCGTTCGGTTGGGTTGATCTCACCCGGAATGTGATAAACGGAATGTTAGATACCATTGTTTGATTCACAGGTTTGAAAAAAAATCAGGAAAGTTACATTCCCGAGAATGTAAGATGGAGGGTAATGCTAAACACATCCATGCCTTAGGTTATCTCACATTCCCGGTGTGATCTAACTTTCTTCCGAAAATACCTTCAATTAATCATCTCTTTTCATTTAAATTATTTATACATTCAACTATTATTAAATTTGATTTTTTGTGACTTTGTAAAACTTTTAATTTAGTCTCTGAATATGTAAATTTTATTTACTAAAAATAATTTTACTATTGACAGAGATCAGTTAGTTTCATGGTGTGTCGAACATCGTAAATCGTGTAACATCCCTTTAGGTGGGACGAACAGAGTATTAATTATATTTGAATGTTTATTCTTGTTAATTGCATAATTTTTTTCCTTAACATTTAATTTTTTTAAGGTATTTATGTTATAAGAGTTATAAATTATTTAAGTTTTTATGAGTGGATTTCAAAATTTAATAGCGAAATTGGTCATTTTTTCTTTATTTTGAAAACAAGTTTTACGAATAATTTGATCATTTTTTAAATTTTAGTTTTCTTGAGATGATAATAAATATATTTATATTACTATTTGAACAACATTTTTATTCATTTCTGTATTGGATCTACAACTGTTTACAATTAAACATATTTTACTTAAAAATAATTCAATTAGGTTTGATTTTTATTTATTATTAAGATATTTCATTTTTTCTTTAATTTTAATCACTTTAGATGTATGTTGTAATAGATTTATTGCGTTAAGAGAAAATATTTAAAGGCATAAAAGTAATTCATCATATCTGCAATATAAGATGTCTTTCAACCAAATAAATTATGACGCAATCCCGTAATGTTAATCAAACACAAATGGAAATAAATTGAATACATTCTCATCAATCTAACATATCCAGCAATGTGACATTCTCATGGTAATCTGACATTCCTTGAACCAAACATAACCTTAGAGGAGTACATATAACGTACATTCGGATTGAGTATAAAAGAGTGTTCAAACAAAGTATTATGATCTATGTGATATATATGCTAAAAATCAACTTATTCAGTTAACTATATAATCATTGTATTGTCACCAAAAATACTTTTTTTGTTTGAACGTTTGCCGGGTTTTATTAAAATATGAAAGAATTACAGAAGGAAGAGGGGGACCAGACCAAGACCTCTCCCGAAATTACATGAAAGAAACAAGTGAAAGCATTGGGGGGGGGGGACCAAACCCAAATGTAAATAAACAAGAGAAAAATAAAAAGCGAAAAGAGAAAAACAAATCCAAAGACATTAGTGAAATCGAAAATGAGGAAGTTCAAAATAGTCAACCATGTAAGAATGGAAAGCCAAAGGAGGAAGATCTCGGGCCGAGGATAAACAAATGCATTTGTTCGAGCCCAGCGGATATTTGGCCAAATAATGGGCCGTCCAATTGCCCTCTCGCCAGATATGACCCAGCAAAATATTTCCAGAAGCAAGGAACCTCCTCATCTTCTGAATTAGGAATGCGTACTGTCACCAAAAATACTTATTGTGCAAAATTCATTATTTAATGGGTTTTTTACAAGAATATTACTAAAATAAAACTTATTTACATAAATATGACTATTCATTACTATAACGTAGTGCTGTGGTAATTAAAGTTCAAAACTTGAACATGAATTACTATGATTTCATTACTACTCTAGTAATGAATCATATTTTTGTAAATCATCTTTATTTTGATCATATTTATGTAATTATTTCTTATTTAATACTAATACTCATTTCATTATTAAGTATAAACTAAAATATCCAATTGTACCTTGCGCATTGTACAATTGAATGTACCATGTAATTTATGATAGTTAGAACGGCAAGAGATGGGAGAGAAGTGGGGGGGGGGGGGGGGGGCTAGAAGAGAATCTACCCACCAGTGTTTCATGAAGGTGCTCACTTGAAATGTAAGAAGCCTCAATACGTCGGGCCTCTAAACCGAGTATTGCATATAAGTATAAGCTAAATGGTCAAATAAGCATTCGAACTAACTTAAAAAGTGCAAATCACCTCTTATATAGGAGACTATGTCCGGCCAATGCTATTTCGTGTGGTTCCTGGTGGAATTTCTTGATGAAATTTTTTGAGCATGTTATTCATTAAGATTAGTTTACCCATACCAAATTTCAGATAAAAATTCAACCGGGAAGACGGTCAAATGATTTTCTGAAATGTACTGCGTTGTTATTTGACTGCCTTCCCGATTTAATTTGTAGCTGAAATTTGGTATAAGTAAACTAGACTTAATGAAGAAGATGTTCAAAAAATTTCCTCTAAAAATTCCAACAGGAACCGCCCCAAATGGCAGTGGCCGGACAGAGCCTCCTATATAAGAAGTGATTTGCGCTTTTTTAGATAGTTAGAGGGTCTATTTGACCCTTTAGCCACAAATATATTAGTAAGTATAATGTGAGTGTTTGATTAGGAGCGTATCAGCCTTGTTTGGCTGATTTGACTATTGTTTGATTTTTTGATGATTACACTTTTTTGGGGGTGTATATACAACTTTAAATACGTGCACTTAAGTTTATGTCATACATTTGTATAATTTAAACAAATAGCATAATTAACTTATTTAAATGAATGAAAAACACATGGTTGCATAGGGATCTAAAATTACGTTACCTCACATTAGCTATTAAAGTGCTATATGCACTTAAAAAAACATAATTTAGGTTATTAATTTGTCCTATCATATTTATTTAAGCTATATAGTCATTTAACCCGAGTGGAAATGACACTTAGCAGGGGAAAAGATTCTGGGGTTTGATTGAGATTGTTTAAGGGCGCAACGAGGACGTTGCGATCCTAAGTGGGGGTGATTGTAATACCCGAGATTAATTTAAGAGGATTAATAGTACTACTCATACCAACAGAGGTGCATCTCCTTTTAAGGGAGCTCATCACCCAAGAACTCCAAAGTTAAGCGTGCTTGCACGAGAGTAGTCTTGGGATGGGTGACCCCCTGGGAAGTTTCTCAGGGCGCGCATGAGTGGGGACAAAATGCGCGGTAAAGGCTCAAAGGGTTAAATGACTATATAGCTTAACTAAATATGATAGCTTGAATATATAGCTGATATATCCTTGTTATACTCATCTCACAGTGCCTCATCTTCTTTGTACTTGTCATTTCCACTCTTCCGCAAAAGAAAAAAAGTAATAGTACGTGGACCAGTTTTCCAGATGATTAACTATATTATGTTTTACTGTCAAAAAAACATTGTCTTATTTTTTATCCACTACTGATCATATGGAAAGTAAGCCTTAATTGAATATTCCAGGTTAGTTTCTTTAATGTATTTAATCAGTTTTTTCTTTTTATTTTATAAACAATTTAGCATTTTTATCATCATTATTTTCGTTATGATTACATTAATATTTTAATACAATTTTCATTTTTGTTACCCAACTTTTCTTAGTACTCTGTATATTTTACATAAAACCAAGGGCGGACCGTAGTAGAGACCCAGGGGAGCTACCGCCCTTCCAACAATTTTTGTTAGTGTATATATATGAAAAGTAATTTTCGTATATAATTTTCGCCCCCTCAAAAAATAATTTTCGCCCCCAAAAAATATTTTGAACCCCCCCCAATATGAATTTTCTGGGTCCACCCATGCATATAACTCCATGTATTAAGCAAACTATTGTCATACTGATTTAATTCGGTAATTCATGAAAAAATGTTAAAATAATTTTTTTTGGGAATATTAAAATAATCATTATTTTTGTTCATAGACTTTTTATTTTTTCAATCATAAATTAAAAATGTTTTAAGTCGTTCTACTAGTACTAAATAACATTCACAAAAAAAACAATGATGTCCTTAAAACTTATTTAACAAATTATCAGTTGATTCTAAATAGCCATTTAATCAAACACCGTTTTGAAAATTGTTATTACTATCAGCTAATCAAAACAGCCAACATAATTTGTTGTCATCAATATAATCAGCCAATGCAATCTGTCGGAGTGAAGTGTTGTGGGATCCTTTCAGAGTGGAGTGTATTGTCATGGATTGTGGCCCCTAATTTATACCACCTATGTTCTCTTTTAAATGCAACATTGGACTTTTTACACTATTCACATGTTCAACTTTGACTTTATTTTATTGATTTATGTATTATAAATTAAATTTAAAAAAATGTTAAATTCCTCTCATTTAAAATTTTCTAAATCTAATTTTTTTTACTAATAAGGAATGAAAGATATTAATGGTCAAACTTGTGCGATGACAAACGTGAAAAGTGAACTGTTGCAATTAAAAAAGAACGAAGGAACATTGTTAGGTGAGGTGCCTCACCATGCTGAATCCTGATATCCAGGGACGGATCCAGGAAATTGACTCAAGGGGGGCGAAATTTTTCGTTAGTGTAGATGGCGAAAAATTTTTCGTTAATGTAGCGGCGCGAATTTTTTTTCCATAGTGTAGTGGGGCGAATTTTTTCGGTGTTGTAGGGCTATGCGGCTGTTTTAATTCAAAAAATGACATTAATACATACACATTCCCAACGATATTTAAATCTATTACATTCTAAGTTTAGACAATGACAAAGACATCAACCAATACATTTTAAATAACTTCTACATTGTTTAACCTCATGAATCGGTTATTGAATCGTAATTTTTGTCTACCAAGGAGGGTGTTCGTGAGTCATGACTCATGAGAAGTTTTCTTAATATTACAATAGTAATATTTATGGGATTATTATTTTTAGATAATATGCACCACATATTATATATATGGTACATATTATATTTTAATATTTGTATTAATGCTATAATAATTTAAAGTTTATTATCTATGCAATAAATTATTTTTTAGAAAGCAAGAAGTAAACAAATTAAGTACTTTAATTTCAATAAACATTTATATTTTGGATCATTTCACGTGATCTAAATACTGTGTAATTAGTGTGTCTGGTATTTAATATCATTTGATATATATTTTACAAAATCCAGTACTTGTTATCTAATAAAGATAATTAAACATTACAAAACTAGGAATTTTTATATAATTGGTATCCCAAATCTTAAACAACGAGTTATTCTATTGTTTATTTGTTTAAGTTATGTAAATTATTTTAGATGTTACTTCTTTCAAAATCTCCAATTAAGTATTACATAATGTAAGACTATATATTAATTTTGAAAATTAAAAGCTAAGGGGGGCGAATCTAATTAAATTATGAAAGTTCTATGAAAATATTACATATATGGTAAAAAAATTTGAAAATCCAAGGGGGGCGGTCGCCCCCCGCGCCCCCCCTAAATCCATCCCTGCTGATATCTCTATTGGCTACTTGGTGGTTGAAAGGAGAGTGATGTGGGAACATGTTACTTGCCTGGGGCAAAGTATTAATGAACCGTGGGAAGTTTTGTGTGATTCCAATTGTGTGAGATCACCACTTGAAAGCTTGGGGAGTAACGACCCCACTTCTTATCAAAAGTGGATTTAGCTATTTGCATAAAAGTTCTTAAATTGGAGGATGCTCCACCATGGGCGACATTTTTACTTGGCATAGAAATCTGAAATGGGCAAAACTGGATAGGGTTTTGATGAATCAAGATTGGAAGAAGGAGGGGTTGATATGCCATGCAAATTTTTTAAAAATTGTAGCTATATCTCATCACTGCCCCATAATAATGAGTTAATGACACTTGTTCATTATAAGTTTTTCAACGTGGATGAGAGATCCAAGTTGTAAGGAGGTGTTAAGTAATGGGAAAATGTTAGAATTACAAACACACTTACAAAAAAACTTACGAACGGACATATGTGGCCTATTAAAATGAGATGTGTTAAATAATGTGATGTTGGCACATAAATCTTTTATAGGACTTTGTAAGAGTGTAAGTACCTCTAACTTAACTCTAAGTGATATGTTGGATAAGAGTTGGGCTGGCAATAGCCAGTATATCCTTTGCTCTAAACTTAAAATGCTCAAGAATCCTTTAAAGGAGCTTTATAGAAGGAGCTTGGAGCATATAACAACGAAGACTTTAAAAGCTAAAGAGGAGTGTCAAAGGGCTCACAAACTAATGGCCAAGGACCCTTTAAATGAAGAATTGAATGTATTCCATAATTGCTAACCAGGTTAGGGGAGAGCTGTGTTCTTATCAGAAGTTGGAAAAATCTCCCGTCAGCAAAAAGCAAAAATTGACCACTTGTTGGATGCTAATAGAAGCACAAAAATACTTCCATGTTATTGTTATGAGGAATGGGGTAAAAAACTCAGTCTCCTCTATACTGAAAAAAGATGGAAGGTGATTACTTCAGAAAAGGAGGTGGCTGAGGAGTTCTTAGGATATTACATAAATCTCTCTGGCTCAATCACGAGGTGTAGAGATATGAGAGGAATTAATGAGGGGGAAGAGGTGTAAAAGAGAGAATATGGTAGTAACTTTGATGGCTCACGTTACTGGCATGGAGATTAAGAGAGATGTGTTACACAGGGGATGATAAAGCACCAGGTTCAGATGGTTACTCTGCGGCTTTCTTCAAGGAGAACTGGAATATGATAGGGAAGGAATTTTCTGAGGCTGTAAGGGAATTTTTTTCCTTACAGATTATTACTCAAACTATTATCGCCTTCATACCCAAAACTTCCTAACACCCCACTATGAGCGACATTAGACCTCTTTCTCTTACCAATGTGACCTATAAGACCATTTCGAAGATCCAGTTTAAATGTTCTGCTACCGGATCTCATTGACCCTGCTCAGGCGGCTTTTGTCAAAAGGAAAGGCTTCTAGAGACCTTTGGGGGTAAGGATTTTACTGTAGCAAAATTGCAGAAGTGCTGCCCAATGGGAATCTAGTCTCATCAAAAGTGTATGATACTATGAGAACTAAAAGCACTACCAAGAATTGGATGAGTTTTAGCTGGAAAAAGTACATTCCACCTAAGTTTTCCTTTGTAATGTTGTTGTGTTTGAGGAGAAGGTTGTCTATGACTTGCTCCTTGTGTTTCCTGTATGTTGATAGAAGTTGTTGCTTCTATCTAAATGCCCCTGAAATTGTAGAGCACCTTTTCTCTAGATGACTAATAAGTCCATATTTCAACACACATTTGATGCGTATTGGAATTGGTTTTTGCCATTGTTCCTAACCTAAATGTGTCACAAAGCACTTAATTAGCTCAAGTCATAGTTTATCGGGGTTTGGTTTGTTTTTGGTACTGTTAGAGTGAAATTCAGGGAATTAAGCCTCGCACTGGCGTGAGTGAATATATTGTTTGGGAGATTTGAGACTGGAATTTTTTTAACAAATTTATTTACATCAGTTCTCTCTAACTTTTGTCCCTGGCTTGCCGACTACTTTGTACCAAAAAGACAATAAGAGACTTGCAAAATCAGGAACCATTGAACTGATTGAAGTGGAAACCATGCCAAGCTAGGGATTCACCATTTTATTTTCATTTATTTACTCTATAAGTGGTATAATATTTACTCAAATAATTGCCAAAGACTCCAACTTGATTCGTGTTTTATGTTCTACTTTTTGCGTTTGCTCTTCAAAGTTGTGGAAGAGGAGGGGTGGTTGTTCCAATTCCTCTTTCGCTGGTTGATGAACCAGTTATTTATCTGCTTTAGGTGTAACCCTGTTTCCTCCACTAATTGAGCTTTGTCCTCCTCCTACCAAAAAAACACAAGTACAATTCAACAATCATCATGGGTAAATGTTTAGCACTTGCAACATTTTTGTTTTCAGACTATATAATACTTCAACACTACCCCTACACTATCCCTCTTGCGTAAGCACTTCATCAAAATCATACGGACATTCACCTTCTTATAATCGTCAATTTTATAAAAACTTGTGTCATCTTGCATGATTATGAATTGATTTGACTCTGATATCATTTCAAGAGTTAGTGCTTTCATTCATACTCCCTTCGTACCCTATTTAAGTTCTCACTTTCCTTTTTCGGGTGTTCCATGCAATTTCACATTTTCCTTATTTGGCAAACAAATCTATTCCAAAACAATGCAAAACGGTCTCAAATAGTGTCCAAACAGTGCAAAACAGTGCACTCCACTCCACAGTAAAGTCGAATTTATTTTCTTAATATAATTGAAGTCAAATTGAGAACTTGTTTGAGCAATTTGAAATGGTCAAAAGGAACATTGTTGGACTTACAGTTGGATATGGCCACTTGGCGTGTGATTGCCACCATGATTTCAAAACAGACGTGGTATCACCAGGGAGTTTTCCCGCCCTTCTCTTGCGAAGAATTTCTTCCCTAATGTCTACGATCTTCTCCTTATAACCCTATGGCATAGACAGATGGTTAGGGAAGATAATATTCAACATAATCATGCCACTTGTCCCAAAGAAATGCTGGGTTAATGGTCATATAAAAAATGGACAAAATTATATTGGTTGGAATTTGGAGTATATTCGTAACGGAGTAGTCTTCCGGTCAGGTATACCTGACCGGAGCCCCGTCCGGCCTCCTCCATTTGGGGGCCTTCCCGGTGGTATTTTTTGCTCAAATTTTTTGTGTAGGTTCCTCATCAAGTCTAGTTCATCCATACCAAATTTCAGCCAAAAATTCAATCGGGAAGGTCGTCAAATGATTTTTGCAAGTTAACTGGTCCGGAAAATACATATTCCGGACCAGTTAACTTGCAAAAATCATTTGACAACCTTCCCGATTGAATTTTTTTCTGAAATTTGGTATGGATGAACTAGACTTGATGAGGAACCTACACAAAAAATTTGAGCAAAAAATACCATCGGGAAGGCCCCCAAATGGAGGAGGCCGGACGGAGGGAGTGGTCCGGCCTGGCCGGACCTGAACTTTAGTGATTCGTAACGTACCATTCAACTATTAGAGACATAAAGGTTCTAAATATGTGTTTGATCTTTACAATTTTGTGAGTAGTATTATTAAAGAAAGTTCAAAGCATATTTATCTCTTTTGAGTACTCTTTTCTCAACTAAAAATTAATTGTACATGAAGTAATAATTTTTTTAAATGTTCTTCACATTGAAAAAGATTAGAACAAATTTGGGTGCGTGGCTGAAACTCTTTGTTGCCCATTCATGCATTGTTAACCATTTTTAATTTTGTTTATGCATCTTGGGTGAATGGAAAACATATATGGAGTATAATCCAAAATATGAGAATGAATATATTCCAAAGAAATCACTCAAATATAACAATAACATTGGAAATCACATGATAGAGTGTGAGACTAGCTCGGACCATCAGTCTCACGACAATTGGGCGTGAACACACTAAACAGTTGCCTACGTTTTATGGACATCATTTATATTATTGTACATTTTATTATACGTGGTGTCTCCTAGACTAGCCTTTTACGTAATTGGGCCTATCAAGCCCATATTAGCAGTATGTTTCGCTTTTCTCTATATATATACTTCTCTTGGGGATCCTCTAAACGTAATTGAGATCCATTCATACAAACTCTACTATTCATCATCTATCTTCTCCATTTGCTCTAAATCTCTCATTAATTATGTGCTTGGATACCCCTATTACAACACACATTTGAAATAAGACTTAGATCACTTCTCCACTATATACATCTCGTTATTTAATTTATCAAACTTCCATAAAAAAAATCATCAAACTACATTTGTATCAAACCATCAAATAAACCATATAAAAACGGAATCAATAACTTGATGTTGTAACTTGATAGTGTGATATACGGAGTAAATTTTAGATGGCTGAATGGTCGATCAAAAAGTGATTGCACGTCACTTTCGTTGCATATTGATTAAAATGATTTCTCGATCAATTATGTCGCATGATTATTAGTTTATGGATTATGATTACAATTACAAACGATAAAAAGGTAATTTTCTCTATAAAAAAATAGATTGGACTTGCTTTTTTTGCAACAAGATTGGACTTCTTCTTAAACACACGTGCTTGTTTGCAGAAAATTATTAATTCGGTCATTTAGCACGCAAATCGGCTGATTTGGCTGATTCTGCTGAAATTTATGAAGTTTTGTCTGAAGTGGCTGCTTGGCTGATTCTGCTGATTTAAGAAAAAAAAATATTTTTAAAATATATTTTATTAATAAAATAAAGAAAAAATTATATGTAAACATAGCTAAAATGATCATCTACAGTAACTTCAGCCAAAACAGCCAGAAAAGTAACTTCAACCTTACTTTTTCTGCTTATTACACACTTCAGCGTGCAAAAGCAAAAATTACGTGTTTGGTAAGAAGTTGACTAATAAGCCTAATAAGTCGAAAACCAGTGATTCCAAATGGCCTCTTACTTTCTTGAAGTCATTTTTACCTCTTTGAGTTCATATTTCAGTTCATGCCTTACACACTCCATCAAAGACCTTTCATTCTCCGTAGGGACAAGAGGGCCAAACCCAATCCCGTGCGTACCATCATACAAGTTGGGATTGCCATCCACTTGGCCTTCATCTCATCAGACATTGTTGCTCCTGTTCCTTCTCCGGGAGACACTCCTAAATAAAAGCATAAGCACTCGCATAAATAAAAATCCGATTTGATTGTAACCAAATGGTCTCTTAGTCGCATTATATATGCATGTACTCATTTTTTGTCCTCTATCTTTACTAGCTTGCAAATATGATCAGCTAATAACTTTTTTCACATTTTGATAGAAAAATTTTTAGTAGTGACAAATTTATTAATTACACAATCAAATTTTATGTGAGTAAAATTATAACAATAATTTTACACAATTTATTAATTACACAACCAAATTTTTACCTGACTAAAACATCAATATCCTTTCTTATAACAATAACAAAGAACCAGGATTAAAACCACTTCACTATATTCTAGAAAGTAGTTTCCAGTATTTAATTTTCGAAAACTGTTATGGTGTTCAAATCAACTTTAAATTTTTTGTGTCCAAATAATACATTTGATATTTGAATAATAGTATTGTTTCATATTTTTGTGTTCAATATACATGTATTGAGATTATCATTCAAACCTCAAATTTTGAAATGAGGGCTACATATTTCCGTTCTCGATTTTTTTAAAATAAAGGTTACATTTTCTTTTCGGCATATGATCTTACATACTTCGTACAATATTTTACTCTTCAGCTCTTCTTATTACAAAAACTTTAACCTTGTTATTCTGAATGTAATTACGTTTCCCTTCAACGCTAATAATGTTTTTTATTGAACTAGTTTGTTTAAATCTAGTCTGGTTCAATAGATATGATTGTCCAATTCTAATATAATATGTTTAAATCGGATCTGGGAAGGGAATCAGTCCTATTAAAAACATTGTAAAAGGGAAAGGTACTTTAGATTATTTAAAATTTCAACTCATTTTGTCCAAAATTAGTTAAGTTTGGTAACTTTAATATTTGGTAACTTTGTAGGTCAAAGCGTCAAAATGCCAATTAAGTAATGGCCTGAGAGGGTGAAGATAAGCAGGAAGATGAGGTAGTAATGCAGCGAGCGTTGTTACTAATAGCCTAATATTAAATTAGGAATACTTTGTATTTTTGGAAACTCTCATTATTATAAATATATCTGTCAGGTACCCTATTGGGTAACATTTTCCATTATTTGACAGTTACCTGTTAAACTTTGTAAAGCCTGCACGATTTCCCAGCAAGCCATTACTGCTTCAGTGCTTCCATGGCATGAACTCGCACATGCTGCTGCAGTTGTTCTTTGAAAGAACAAAGCAACAACACATAGTGTTTCTGAAAATGAATGAGTGAGGGAACATAATAAATGCTCAATCATCACTTAAGACAACATATAAAGGCACATACCACGTTTAATTTACTAAATTAAATAGACTATGTGTGCATATTTGGTAGGTAGATTCTAGCTTTTGTTTTATTGAAAAATCTTTGAAGGCCTTTAAGGGTATATTGGCATAATAATTTTTCGGAGTTGTTTGAAAATTTAAATATTTAGAAGCTGCTTTGAGCAGTTATAAATGATTTTTTTTATAATTTTTAACAATAATTAGTATAACATGTAATATCAAACAAAACTATTCAATCACAAATGATTTTTTATGTACTAAAAAACTGAAAAACTATGAGCTTGTTTGGTAATTAATCATGTTTTTCGTCATATCAGTCAATTTTTTACAAAACACATAATTTTGATTTTGCGCTCTGAATTGTGTAATGATAAGAAAAAATGTGGTTGAAATTAATTTTCTGACTGTATTGACTAAAATTACTATAGAGGATTATTTTAGCTATTTTCATACGGAGTATAATTTTTTCTTAATTTTATTAATAAAATATATTTTAAATATAATTTTCATATAAATCAACAGAATAAACTAGTCGTCACTTCAGCCAGAATTTCATACATTTAAACAGAATAAACCTATTGGATCGATATAACCAAACGGGCTCTACAAATATACTACTCCGTATCTTTTTAGTTGACTCTGACAAATATACACATATACTTCGTATTACGTATGATATATTGAGCATATTTTTAAAAAGTACTCCGTACATCGTATGTGAATGTTGCACCATCTCTACATGACCATGTACACCATCATTTTCCTTCATTTTTATAGTAATGTCACTCCCTGAGTTTATTCATTCAAGCAATTCATAAAAAATTTCGATACGTAACATGACTATTGAATAGTTCCCATGACTAAAATGTGATCACACATTATTAAAATAATTAGTGATTATATGTCACTTTTCAATTTCAAATTCACACCAAATCAAAATGTACGACATTTTAAGTCTTTTGTCAATAGTTTTCACTTTTCGTTCAAATTTTATAGCGACATGCTTCATCTTTGTCCTGATTGCTACTTGGACTTGTCGTTAAAATCTTGAAGAACAAGCTCCACATAAGTGTTTCTGCTAGAACAACTTAGCAGAAGATATTAAACCTAGGAACTCTATCTTTTTAATTTAGTTACTACGGATATACCCAATTTGCTTCATTAAAATTGTTTCATCTTTCCGTTTTCATCCGTTTCACTAAGATTATCTCAAACGCTTAACTAATTGCCCTTATGACTTGACTAATCACATAAACATTTGAAACAAAATTAAAATGTATTTCAATGGTTAATTATATCTTCTTTCTCTTCTTTTATTATTAATGATTTTATATTAAACAATAATTTTTCTTACTCAAGCTATTATCTCATTTTGATTAATTAGTTTTCTCAAATAAAAGGAACAACAATGCTTTAATGATAAACTATTAACTTTAAAATTGCAAACAAGTCTTTTAAATGAGCCATTGAAATTGCTCTAATATTGTCACATACTACGTACTTAGTTTGTTAAATTTTTTATGATTTAATTCATTATTACTTTATTATTATTTTATCAATTTATAAACTTATTTTTACTAATAAATATATCACCTCTCGCGTCAGAAATGGCATTAATGGAACGGGTAGTATTAGGGGTGTTTGGATCTGATTCTTAAAATTGCTTCTGCTCCTTGGGAGACTAGAAGCAGAATCTGGAGTGTTTGGGTCAAAGTGCAGAAGTGATTCTGGTGCTCTTTTTTACTCCTAAAATAAGTTTTTTTAGAAGCTAGGGGTGACCAGTTTCTGCATCTTCTTTAAAAAAGAAGCAGAGTTCCAAACACCTTCCATGAATTGATCGAGCTCTCTGTCGCCATTGAGATTTCCATTTCCAATCTGGGCAGAGTATTTCTGTACGATGACTTCATGAGTTTGCGCAAGCTGAGAGTCGATCCTCGGGAGTTGATCCACCGGCGTCGCAATTCGCAAGCACGCCACATGGGTTGCTAGCAGTTGCTCGTATAACGGATGTCCTGATATATCGGCTTTGTACCTTTCAATTTCCGATTTCTCCTTTCCTGAGCCGCCGCCGCCGACTCCGCCCTCGGCCACCTCAGCACTTCCTCCTCCGCGGCGACAACCTGTGTTTCTGTAGTCTTCGCCGTCGCCGACTGCGTTGAAATTACTCGGCGGCCCGTGCATAATCCCGGCGGCTGTAATTGAATTTCTGGACTCCGAGACTTCGTCGTCCCTAACGCTTCCATGTGCAATTGCTCTCGAAAGCCACTGGCTCGAGGCGCGCTCCGCCGCAGCGGAAGATGACTCCGAGTTGCTTTGCATATTGAGGAAATTCGCATCTGCTATGGCTCCCGATCCATCGCGGACGCCGACGAACTGGTCCTGTTGCCGATAAACTCCGCTGTCGAGCCACGTCAGTTGCTGGTGATGGTGGTTTTCCGGCTGAATTCCGTTCCGCGTCGACTGCGTTGATAGCTGTTCAGGAAGTATACTCCGCAAGAGAGACGGACTTTCGTATAGGTGCTGCTCTGAGAAATGTTGCGAACTCTCCATTTCTGGTGAAAATTGATTCTGAAACGCCATAGAAAACTCTTCGCCTCTGCAATGACATCCAACGACTTTTTTCACAGCAATATTGAAGTACTACGTATAACATGTCATCAACAAAAATAACGTGTTGCAGAATAATGCTGAGATATCCATAGAGAAGATGGAGAATTGAAGTTAAGATGTATAGAAGATATGAATATACCGATCTCTTTGTCTCTCTCGATTTATAATTGACCATTGAGCCAAAAGTTTTCGTTCGGTCTGACCGCGTTAATGGATGGAATCATCTGAAATTGGAGGGTTAAATGCATTTTGGTAATGTTGCATTTTGGTACTTAACTCTTAAATGAATCAAAATTGTACCTTAATTATATATAAATGTTTCAAACTGAGATTTGATTCAAATTTTTAACAAAAAAGTCATTCATAACGATAAAAATTTAATGCGTAGAGTCACCCTATAGTGATCATATGGACAAAAATAAGTTGAAACATACTTTACGCATAGAAATTCTGACCGCCACGTGTAATATTTTGGTCGAAAATTTGAATAAAATCTAAATTCGAAACATTTGTATATATTTATTGTACCATTTTGATTCATTTAAGAGTTAAGGTACCAAAATGTAACATTACCAATAGTTGAGGTACCATGCATTTACCCCAGAAATTGGATGAACAATCACAGTTTGTGAAGACCAGCATCTTAAAAGTTCTGATATCAGCGGATCTATATATGTGAGATGATGTAAACGACGACCATTCTAGCCCACCCTCCGTATCCGGAGATGAGGACATACCAATATCTGCCCGGTTGTTTATTTTCTGTTCCGTCTAGTTTAAGCCAGCTAAAGGAACTTGAAATTAGTTTAAAATCGAAGAGTATTATATACACCCTTATAGCACGTGGACATAGAATTCGTATTTAGGGGCAGTAATTCTGGTCAGGGGTCAACAGGGGTGTGCCTTCGGTCAAATAACTGACCGATAACCGAACCGACCAATGTTTTTTCCTCTCACAACCGACCGAAAACTGACCGACAACATTACAAAACCGACCGAAAAATGTCATTCGGTTTCGGTCGATAACCGAATAACCGAACATAACCGACCAAAACATATATTTTTCAAAATTATAAAAGTTGTAAATTAATAAATAAAATAATAAATACCAAAATGGATTCAACATATTTAAATGTAAATTATTGTTCTTAGCACAATACGATTACAAAAACTAAAAAATCCCACGTTGAAACTACTTCACTGTTCCACAATTGAAACTACTTCACTGTTAGCAAATAAATAAGCTAATATCTTATTAATCTTTACACCCCAAATGAGCAAACTCATCTAAAAGTTTCTGAATATTTTAAATCACACTAAAGAAAAAATTAAAAATCAAAAGATCTGTCATGTTGAGTAAGATAATAAAGGATCTAGAAAACATTAAAAGAAAAAAAGTGTGCAATTTCGCAATGATTAAATAAGGATTTCAGTTGATTTTTCTCTACCAAGGTTGATTCCTCTAGAACTAATGAAGGTGTACGTGGAGGTTTGAAATTTTGAACAGGGTGTTCCATGAATTGATTATAAGAATACAAGTTAAAGAGATGGGGAAAGTGGATAATTGAAGAACGGGCTCCATAGCATTCCACTAATGAGTTTTGTAGGTGGAGTTCAATGGGCGTGGGCTGGACTTCATATTTCATTACTATGGAGTTCTTTTTTTATCGTTACTATGGAGTTATTAATTTATTATGAAGTATATTTACTTAAATATTTACAAAAAATAAAATAAAAATAAAAAATCGGACGGTTATCGGTGACCGACCGATAACCGACAAATAAAATCGAATAAAAACCGAATAACCGAATAACCGATATCTTTTAATTTATGATAACCGAAAACCTATGTAGCACCGATACCGGTACGCGGAAACGCGGAAACGGGTACGTGGATACGTCAAAACCAAAAAAAGTAGGATACGGATACGGGGCCATATTTATAAATATTAAAAGTTATGGGGGTGTATTTACAAATATTAAAAGTTATAGGGGTCTATTTATAAATATTAAAAATAGATTTTTTTTGAATATATATATATATATATATATATATATACATACATACATATAATATGCTATGATGTCTACCCATTCATTGCATTGAAACATTTTCCTTTTTCAAGATACTTGATAATAAATTCATAATATTTCTCATATACACTAGTGTATCTCGAAATATAAATGTAGTCAATAAGTCATTAATTTAAAACGAGAAATAAGTGAAACAACTACAATCTTAAAATTAAAAGTGGAAGTACCCAATTCGGAGTATGAGTTAATGACTTAATTCGGATATAGCCATATGGGCCCATTATTTGATTACCAAGTAAAATGTAGTTTTAGATTTTCATTTTTTTTAGAATTTTATCAAGTAAATTTTGGGATTTTTTTTTTAAAAAAAGTTGATACGGGTATCCGTCAGGATACGAGTATCGGAAACTTTCAAAAAATTACAAAAAAAAGTGGAAACTTTTATAAATTGCAGATACGGCCCGGGAACGTACGGTACGGGTATCCTAGAGTATCGGATACGGGAACGTATCGGATACGCCGATACGCTACCCTAGTGAAGTATCCGTGCTTCATAGCCGAAAACCGATTTTTTGGTCAATTCGGTCATCGGTTTTCGGTCAGGTCGGTTGAATCGGTTATTTGCTCACCCCTAATTCTGGAGTTCGAATCTCATTGAGAAGTTACAATATAAAAATACTACGTACAAGTATTTAGACTAGAACTCCATTTGCTATTTGTTAATTAGTAACTAAAGTTCAATTTGCATTCTCTCCTTAACTGTCTGATCAAGGATGTAAAGTCATCCTTGATCGTAACAAATAAATCCAACTCAAACCGAAACTAAAACAGGCAGTGGCGGATTTACTATGGGGGCAGTGGGGGCAGCTGCCCCCTCTCAACCCCCACCCAAACCCTATGTATATATATTTAACATAAAATAATGTTTATATTTATATGCGTAATAGAGTATTATATACAATAATTACGCTAAGTGTTCCAAATGTTACGTTGGTTTAATGGGAAGGCCTGATTTAGGCGGATGTAGTCATCCCGAGGTCGGGTGTTTGACCCCCAGCTTTAACATTGTTTTCCTTCTTTTGCTTTTTATTATCTTTCTCTCATATTCTCCTTTTAAAGATTAAAGTACACTATACGTTTTTTATACTTCCTTTATTCTTTTTTTAATTATAACAATCCACTTTATAAGTTTATCGATGTACAAGTTCTATCATTAAAACATTTTAAAAATTCAGTTTTTGATAATCTAAAGTGAGAGAAATTAAAATATTTTTCAAAATTTGAAAAATATATGTGAATAAGGCAAAATCATCAACTTTGCAATCAAAAGAGAATGAAGGTAGTATAATTTATAAAGTTTTGCAATTACTTTTTTGCACTAAATATAAACAAATTTTTAGATATAGTTGTGCATTTGAATTTACAATAATACTAAATATATACAATATTCATCCATTATTCAACTCATATAATTTATTTCTGAAAATTGTTAAGTATGTTTCATGTTTTTTGTTGAACAAATATTTTATTTTTTATAACTAACTTCACAAAAAAAATTGTATTCAACTGTTTGACATGACATAATCGAGAGAATATGTAATGTAAATTTGCCCCCGCTCACAACAATTCCTGGATACGCCACTGAAAACAGGTATAGTTGGTCGATAACCCGAAACAACGATAATTAAATAAATTGACCGTTAAAGAGGGAAGTTACGGTAGCCTGTAAGGTGCATTGTTTTAATAATACAATCTAAAATGGTTTACAGTAAAGTGAGAGAAGTTTGTAACCAAATAAAGTCAAATGACTTTATTTAGGGACATTTAAAGAAAGTAAAGTGGGAACATCTTCAAATGACGAAAAGGTACTAACTTAACTTCAATTCGTTTTTCCCCATATTAAGAGCTTGAAATTATTTTAGGATGATCTTGAGCAGCTCTGTTATGTTTTTCCCTTGTAAAAGAGGTAAACTAGCTCAAAATGACTAGATTCCAACCTCACAAATATCAATTGCTCTTTTTTATAGTTACTCGTACATTTGCGGCTTAAAGTAATTTTAACTATAGCACCCATTTTTTCAGGTTTTATTCTCATGTTTTAATTAATAAAATACTACGGAGTAAAAAAAAGTAGAAATTGTATATTCGCATACATGTAAAAAAAAAAAGGTAAACAACATCAACCACACAATATCATCCTTAAAAATGTGAAAATAATATTAGAACATAAGGAAAAGATATGATATTAAAATGCTTTGTCGAATGAATACTTTGTTGTTCATATATATCCGGTCCATACGGAGTATATTATGGATGATGTGTTTGACCATCAATGTGTGTAACGATATTATAGTACTACTTATCTTTTATTACCTTAAAATAATTTTCTTTTTTCTTTAAAAAAATATAAAAATAGTATTTTCAAACTCCTAGAGTATATGGAGTTATGGACCTATCTCTTACAACCTTGGCCTAGGCTGTTGAGGATGATCGCACACACTTACGTACATTATTCATTACATAATCTTCTTGCATAGCAAGGCAAAGCCACATACGTGTGAGATCTATTCACTGAGTACATGACATCGGCTTATGAATGACATTGTCGTGCCGGCTCGTCATTCTTGGTGTACACAAAACGTCTACATTGCATGTGTATACAGGCAATTAGAAGGTTTGACATCAAATTCTGCCCTTTTAAATGAATTGCCTGTGTACACATGCAATTAGAGGGGTTTTGTGTACACTTTGTGAACAACTCATGTACACTAAGAATTTTTCTTGTCGCGCTCACATCGCTTTACTACTGAACACTTTTCATATAATCTTGAAAATGGTAAATTATTTGCTTTTGTGCGGTGAATACTCTTGACCTTGAGAAGCTATTTTTTAAAAGTTTACGTGAAAGTGGACTATTTCTCAAAGTTAGTGGTTTTTGAAATGAAAGGTGATTTTTTAAAAATTTTAAAAGTTCGAAAAATGATTTTACAGGTTAATATTTTGATCATTTTGAAGTTAAAATATGTAAGAGACCCATGGATCTCTTTTAGTGGGACTAAGTTCTAACGTAGCGTACATCATGAAGTAAGCAATTACGTATATAGTTATTTGTGCAAAACTGCAAACCCATTTTTAAATGAATGAGAAATACCAAAGGCTTTTTATAACTCAAAGTTTTGTAAGGAGGAAATAACCGCATACGGTAAAATTACACTTCACACGTCTATCCGGGTCGGATTTCGGGTGCATACCCGCCCGCTTGGCCTTAAGGCTTTTCAAGAGATCGAAGGGTGGACACATTTTCTTAACAGATGTCTGCTTTTCCACTAATGGAACTCTGAAAAAAACAACAACATTGAGAAAATTCATTAAATAAAACTAAAAGTTAGACAAAGCGCATAAATGGGACTAGTGTTTTTCCCATAGAATAGGACTCTCTTACTCCTAAATGGGGTAATTTTATACTTTTAATACGACCAAGTAAATCTTATTTTGAGAATAAAACACATGTAGTCTTATTTGTGCATTTTATCTATGTTTTAGTGATATTTGAAGATATTTCTAAACAACATTTTTACTTCTACGCTTCGTCCGAAGCATCCATCTTAATGCATCATTTAGTTCGTCGAAGTCCTTCGGGAACGGAAACTGTTTAATCCCAGGGAGACATTTGCAGGCGGGCAAAGTAACTCTGCTAATACTTACCAGGGCCGTGCACCTACCTTAAGGCCAGTGAGGCCATTGACT